TGCAGTTGTGCCCTCAGAACTCTGCTGCCCAGAACCTCACAGCTCATTCCAAGTCAGACTTTGGGCACCTTAAATCCTCTCTTGGGCAGTGACTGATCCTCTGGCACTGCACCAGCTGCTGCAGTTGTTGTACTTAAGTGCCATTGATTCCTTTAGGCTGCAAGTCCCTATAAAGAGCAGATGTTCTTACCAAGTATTTAAGATTAAATATTTACCATCTCTCTGGCAGAGCTGTCCAGTTCACCCCCAGGACCGTACCACCAGGAGCCCTATGTCTGTAAGGCAGAGGAGCGCTTTAAATCTCCACCCATTCTCCCCCCACACCTGTTGCAGGTCATCCTGAACAAGGACACAGGCATTTCTGTGAGTACATCACTTTGGTTTGCTAAATAATGCACTTGAGGGTGGGAGCAGATGGGGAAAAATCTGGATACAGGCAGGGGACAGCTTAGGAAAAACCTTAGGATAAGTTACTGTGTAGGTAAGTTCCTTGTGATGTATGTCCTGATGGATTCATCTGAAGTAAATCTGTTTTTCTAGTTGATTGTCTTTAAAATGAAAAACTAGATCGTTTTCCTCCCAAAACCTTAATCTTATCAACTGTTAAGACACCAGAAACACATAAGGGATAATCTCAGTCTAATTCATGGTCCTGGTGAGGATGCAGAGGGTTTTACCCAGAGGGACCTGGGGTTGTTCTGAAATGGTGGCTGTGTTTGTGATGAGCTCAGTGTGAGCAGCAGTGATGTGCTGGGGGTATGGCTGGTCACAGGTGCTGTTTGTCACCCCTCAGCTGTGAGGAGTGAACTGTGGTTTCTGTTTCTGTCACACTGTCCCTGTTCTCTGCAGTGTGACCCCGCTCTGCTCCCCGAGCCCAACCACGTCATGTTGAACCACCTTTATGCACTTTCCATCAAGGTGAGAGGCCAGGGCACAGCCTGCACACGGGCAGCCTGGGTGTCTGACCATGGCACATGCTCACTTGTTTTCCCTCCCCTGTAGGATGGAGTGATGGTGCTCAGTGCTACACACCGTTACAAGAAGAAATACGTCACCACTTTGCTGTACAAGCCAATATGAGCATCACAGTCATGTGTGACCAATTGTTCTGGGCCAGTGCAGTCTCAGAAAAAACGCTTCACTTAACCAAATGTACTTCTGCTCTGTGCTGTAGCAAACAAACTCTGATTTCATATTTTTCCTGAGACTTCCAGGTTCTCCTGTATTTGCCTTATTTTGTTAGCCCCACCTTGGAAGTTCTTGGAAATGGCAGCTTCACAGTGACTAGACAGGTGGCAAAGGTGTCAGTGCCCCTTGTCAGCTCAGTTAAAAACCACCAATTTAATTAGGCTGAATAATGTGAGGGCAGCAAAGATCAAAGAGCTTCAGCAGTGAGGCAGACTGGGAGTCTGCCAGCCCAAAGCCTAGAAAGTTCAGGATTCTTGGGAAATCTGATTTGAGCATAACACTCAGCAAAAGCAAGCTCATTGCTGCTTCTGTTGCTCATCAAACATTATTTCAGTAGCAAGTTCCCAACTTGCCTGGCTGAACTAAGTGTGAATATTGATGGTCATCTTGTAGCAGCCTTTTCTGGGCAAAATCAGCAACATAATCACTACAAGCTCATTATTATTTTACGGTAGAGTGGGGTGCACTGTTTCTACTGTGAATAGCTCTGTAGTTTTTTCTCTTCATGAGAACTGAAATACATTTTTCCCCAGTGGAATTTCTGGTAAAGACAATTATCTTTAATGGCTGGATTTTTCTGTAAATCGTAAATGTGTCTTGCAGTAATCTGCTTTTGGAAACTGGTTTCTCTTGCTGTCACTGATGAGGACTTCCTTAAGCTGGGAGAGGTGGCTGGAAGGAAATGGATGGATTCAGTTTAGGGATGAGTTCCTCAGTAACAGCCTGAAGGTGACTGTAAGTCTCCTGTGTCCAGTGGCCAAACTCACCCCTCGGTGTCAGCAGTTGCAGAGTGCTGGATGCAGCAATGCCACAGCCCTCTGTGCCCAGGCCTGGAGCAGGCAACTTTGTATTCTGTTTCTGTTTTCTAGGTGATTATAGTAATGCCAGGCTGCCTGTCTTTGGTGTTGACAGCCTGTTTTATCCCAAAACAAATGCAACGTTAATGCAAACCTGCTGCCAGTGTGCCCCAGGCCTGCCCGGGAGGAGCCAGTGCAGGAGGGGCCCTTCCCCGGCCTGTTTTGGTGCCTGGGGCACCGTGACTGTGCCAATGAGAACCAGCCCCGTCCCTCTGTGGGGGAGGAAAGCACTTTGCACAAGTCTGTGAGGAGTCTGAGTGGGGACAGAGCTGCAGCAGCCAGTGTGGAGTGAGCCACAGTGGGAGGGTGCTTCGCCATCCTGGGGTCTGTTCACCAGCCTTGTTGCAATATCTTCAGTAGCTGAGTAGATCTGGGTCTAGTGCAATGGTTTTCTCTGAAAACTCTTTCTTCATTCTGTGCTATGGATAGTATTTGGTATTCTGAACTACAGAATTGCTTGTTTTCAACCTCTTAGAAACAAATAAAACATTTTCAAGAGAAGCGCGTGACTTGTCTTGTTGTTACCCTTCCCATCTGTGGTAACCTCGCCTTCAGTGAGTTATTTTGTTGTTACATGTGATTCCCTGATTGCAGTTTTATGCCTTGGTGGGTTGTACAAGCTTCTTATTCAGCGGTGCAGCTTGAAACACTTTCTCCTCTTGCACTCAGTCAGCGAAGAAGACCCAGGTGTTATTGTTTATTTGTGATGTAAAGTTTAGAGGAAGGACAAGAAGTCAATTATTTAAAAATTCCAGCAACAGAGCTTGAAAGCTTGGGATGGGCCTTAAGCCTCCTGTCAGCTTCTCTTTGTTCCAGCAGCCACTTCAAGCAGACCTTTTTCCCCAAGTCTTTGTCCTCAGCAGGGTGACTCTGGGGTCAGGTCCAGCAGTGTGAGGGGACAGTCTGTGCCTCTGCAGCGTACAGTAGCTCCAGGGAATGCCAAGGCTGTGGGATGTGTGCTCAGTGCTGGTACCTGCAGAGCACTCCACATTCTTCATCAGTGCATCAGGTATGGTGGAACCACAGGACAGGAATAATTATCGTGGAGAAAGCTTGAGGTTTTTTAATTTTGGATTTGTAGCCCCTGGGCCTGTTTAAGCTGGCAAAGGGCTCAGTACAGGGACTGCAGCTGCCACTGCACCATTAGCTTTTGGCAGCAGAGGGCTGCGGGGGGAAGCCCAGGGTCGGGGGCCCAGGCTGTGGGAGGGTCTGCAGGAGTGACCCTCCCTCTGCTCCACCCTGCCCTGCCCAGGGGTGACCAAGCCCAGGTGCCCCAGACCTTTCCAGCCACCAGCAGCAGGTGATGGAGGCTCTGAGCTGTTCCCTGGCACCTGTGGCCTCAACTGACAGTCCCAGGAGCCACAAATTTCCTCAGGTAAGCCACTGCCACCCTCAGCCCCCCAAATCCCTTTCTCTCCAGGAGGGTGGATGAAGAAGAGGTAAGCTAAGAGGTAAAACTTGCTTTGGTTTTTGCTGGGAGGTGGGTTTTGGGGTGTTTTATTGGGTTTTTTTCTAGGTAATTTTCTGCTTGACAGGTGAATGAATTAGATTAATCACTCTGTGTTCCCTTATTGCAATGGGATGAATCAAATCCCTCCAAAGGCAAAAGCTGGATCAAGAGTTGGATTTATTAGCTCACTTACATTCCCCACCCACAGCTCACAGTCTGTGCTGTTATGTTTATTCTTGGCTGTTGCTAGGAGAGCACATTTTTTAAAGGTAGATGCAGACACGTTTGTTACAGTCACTTTTGGGGACCCTGGATTAAACCAGCACAGGAATAATAAGAGCTCCCCGACCCCCTGAATTTCAGCACAGCATGTGGGGGTCAAGCTGACATGGATTTGTGCAGGGTTCTTGGGAATCAAAAAGCTCAATAAATAATTAATTATTTTGTTTTACTCCACCAGTTTCTGGATTAATTTAGTTCTGTTACAATTCGGATCATGCATCAATAGGACTGCAACAATGAGCTTTAAATAAGTATTGTTTGTGCACAGTAAAAGAAATAAAGGAACATTGAACAAGTCAGCATTTCATCATATACATCATAGTAGGCACAATAGATAAATCAAGCAGCTTGGGGTTGATGGAGAGCATTTTCATGGAGAATGTCATGTAGACCAAAACGTAAGAGGAGCCATTGGTAACCCACCCCCACAGCCTCCAGCAAGCCCGTTCTCGGGGCTGAGGGGGTGGCTATGTGCACAGAACCAAAAACACTGAACAGTAGGAGGACAAATTAAGTTACTGTAGGCAGCAGTGTGAATATTAAAAACCTCTTCCTGTGAAAGAATACTTCAGACCCTGTAAAAACTAGTTCAGTTAAAAATAGATGTATTTACATTGAAGTCTGATCTAGCAAGTTTTCCCAGCAGGTGTAAGTTGAGCTGTACAGTAACTGCAGGTTGTACTCAATCTGACTGGATTTGTGAATGGTCTTTTTTTAAAGTTGCAGCTATTAGGCCTTAAAGCACCAGCATGTTACAGCAGTGGCATGAGGAACTGCCTCCCTCCGCTTTGCTCCTAGTACAGTGCTGGGGTAAGTCCCAAACCTGTCAATTAACTGTTGTTAATTAAGATGCCTTTTTTTCCAGCTCAGGATGTGTGGGGTCATTGACCAGGGTAAGACTGTTCCCAGATACTCACAGGTGCTTCACCTCTGCCCATCTCACGGCTGAGGCAGGGTTGAGCTGGAGGTGCTTGCAGCTGACTGCTGCTCTAGTGCAGGATAAATCCACCTGGGTTAGTGCATGTGAACATGCTTGGGGCTTGTGAAGCCACTTATGCTACTGTTCAGGGAATGACGAGTATTAAATGCTAAATAGTGCCAGGGTTTGCTCTTGGGTCAGCTGTGACACCTAGGATTGCCCAGCTCAGAGCCAGGTGTGGAGCAGGAGAGGCAGGGGCACTCCAGAGAGAAGGAAGCCGTCATTTCACCATGCCAGTCAAGATAGTTATTTGTTTTATTTGGTTATTGTTCAACAACAAAGTTCAGTACTTTCCAGGTGGAGCTTTGAACTGTCCCTCTGGTTCCCTCCCTTGTCAATAATAAAAAGGTAATGAAGAAAAATCCTGTACTTTTAGAGACCTAAAACCTCATTTATGCTAACAAGCTTCAATTGCAAGTTAATGTTACAATATTTCTTCATGGGTGCGAGGAGGACTGAGGCGAGACCCCTCCAGTGTCTGAAGATGGCTGTCCACAACCACCAGTAAAACAAAAAGCCAGTGTTGAAAAACGCACAGTTTACAATAAAAAAGTAGAAACCAATTCAATTCCCTTTTGTTACGAATATAAAGTTTCTTGTAAATATGTACAGTCCTTTGAGCTATTTCTATAGCAGGAAGCATTTCACAAACAAGACACAAGATATACACTTTCAGGACTCAACAAGCCCATTTCTGAGGTCTTGAAGATCTTCCATGAGATGCAAAGATTTAAAGACTGATCTCAGTGACCTTTCAAAATATTCAGACCAGGAGACAAAAACTTTCAGCAAATTTCCTGCCAAATCATCTGACTGAAAATAACCCAACAGACAAGAGAACAGAATACAATATTCATGAAACTCGCCAAAGGACACTGACAAGGCATTGGAATTTTGATGGGTTATTCTAGAACAGGTTAGCACAGGCTTGCAAGGGACTAGCAGAAGTTAAGTGTGGCTCCAAGGGAAGATTGGATGCAGTTTTGCTCTTTCCAGTTGTAAAGAACATGGTTGTTCACTTAGAATGTTGCTATTGCAGAGTGAATGGTCAAAACCCGCTTTGAAAATCATTTGCTCTCTGCTTCATGTTCACAGCAGAAGAGAATAGGAAGCAATAAAAGGCTCGAGGTCAAACACGGGGAAGCGAAGGTGTGTCAGCGACTGCCAAAGCTGCTCCCTGTGGGTGTCCTGTGCCAAGACACCGGATCTGATTGCACGACAAGCTACAGCTCAAGGGAGGAGCCAGCCCGGGCTGCTCCCCCTGGGGAGCTGAGGCTGGCAGGACTCATTGCTGAAGAGACCATGTCCAGTGCTGAGAGGAGAACACAAGTGTGACTGTAATTCTTGTCATAGAATAAGGCTTGTTAACTCTTCGGTGCCTAATTTCCAGAGTAATTAACGGCTATTTTGCAGCGTGATCTAAAGTTTTCAGTTAATTTACAAGTGAGGTACAATACACTACTCAGCAAAGCAACCTAAAAGGAGAGCCAGTGATGGTGCAGCAGCATGCAGTGAACTGTCATGCAGAAGACCTGGATAAAGTCTTACAACCCAGTAGCTTATAGGTAATGCACTTTGTCTTAGGGCCGGGCAGGGGCGTTGGTTAAAGCAGGGGTCTTCCCTCCCCATCAGAGCTGCTCTAAAGCGATTTTAGTGAGAACAAAATAACTTTCAGAAGTGGCAGGTGAACAGGCTAATCAGAAGAAATTTTTCTTGTGTTCTGTGGAGAATATCCAACCACAGCTCCTATTGAAAGACTCACTCACCTTGGCCCTTCTGTTTCCAGGCCATCAGGGGATCCCAGCACGTCTCAGAACTATGACCAACTCTCTGTTAAGGGGTGCTAACCACAGTGATGACCTGGGGTAGGACACGAGTCCCATTTCCTGGATGAACTACTAGGGACTAAAGTGGATACAAAAAGTTCATGAACTGCTTGAAAGAGTAACAGTAGTACAAAGTGCAAAAACAGGAGTGCAGGAAAGTGCAGAGAAATTAACTGAGCTGCAAACGGTCTTGGAAAGCGTCACGGCTCCCACTGCGGAGTGAGCTTTGGCCCAGGAATGCTGTTTGGGAACTGGGCTGCAGACAGATGGAGTGCATATACTCAGTATATTTCCTTTTTTTCCTGCAGGTCAAGATGAGTAACTTTGTCTAGCTGAGACTTACACTGAAGACTGGTCCCAGACCTGGCAAGGAAATAAAAGGACAAGTTACAAGTGACAGGTGTTTCTCTTCCAGGCACGAGGTGCTGGCAGCAGTACATCACCTGCTGCTCCCACAGAGCCAGGGCTCCTGTCATCCACAAACACTGACAAAAGCAGGCACTGTCAGCATCACCCTGAGCACAGCAATCTCCCACACTGCCTGCTCCAGACATCGTTCCCCTTCAAATCCCCTATCACTTGTTAGTAAATGCACCTTTGCTTTCAGCCCATTCTAGCATCAAGCATCTTTTGTAGTGCCAGAACCAGCCCAGGGCAGGTGGTCACAGGGCCAGTGCATGACACCACGTGGGCTCTGTTCCAACAGAGTTTGAGGAGCAGGGGGGTGAGATTTGATCTGCTCTTGTGCTTTTCAGTGCCACCAGCCCTTCTGCAATACCTACGAGCCTCTTCCTGAGAAAAAACACGTTCTGCAGGCTCCTGACTTACCTTATTGACTTGAGCAAGAGGAGTTCTGGTCCCACTCACAGGCACCCTCCCTCGGCTGCTGTCCTCGAAGAGTCGTCCTGGGGAGCGCTCCCTGCGCGTGCTCAGCAGCCGGCCCGGAGATTTCTCCCTCTCCAGAGGCCTCCCCGGGGACTTGTCCCTGCGCAGCTCCGTGCGGCCCTCGCGGTACCGGTGAGGGGTGCTGGGCTCCCGGGGGTGGCTGGGCCCTTCCAGGGGCCCTGGGCTGGAGGCCACCCTCTTGGTGATGTGCTCGTTGTACGTGGGAGGGCCTCTCTTGTTCGGGCTGCTGTCATTCAAAAATAATTGATGCGAACCGCTGAGTGACAAAAACCTCCCGTTACATTTTCTTTTAGCAAAAATGTAACTTTTCCCCCAGCACCCTTGGGGTGAGAAGCATCAGCCCCTCCCTGAGTCCAGATGGAAAATGCAGAGATAATTTGGCAGCTGGAGTATCCATCACATGAGCCACACTGGCAAAGTGCCTTCATGAATTGCCAGTGTAAGTCACGTGCATGGAACAACACCTTTTCATACACTCCAGCATATGCTTTTCCATATAAAAATACACTAAAATTTGATACATATATTTTCACACAAATTTCTGTACCTCAGGGATATTCAGGCCAGGCTGGGATGAACTACAAGCCCCCATTTCTCAGTGTCCTGTGCACACAGTTGCACTATCGGCCCCAGTATTTAATTACCTGTGTACCACATCACAACTTCCCAGCACCATCTCCCTAAAGCAGACTCATTATTCGATAGAAAGGGGCTTTTGCTTTACAGCTTGTTACAGCCAATCCAGTGTTATGTCAGTGAAATGTTTGGTGTTATATCAAGAGTATCTCAGCTCAGAAAGCTTTGAAGCCAGAGCTCTATCACAACATCAAAGCAAACCAGCACAAGGTCACAAAGCATTTGTGGAGATTATCCCCATCTTCCTAGAGCTGATGTTTGTTTCCTTGTGGATGTTAAGCCATTAGAGACTCTATTCCAGCATCACAGTAAGTGACTGTCACAGGAGCTTGTTCCCACAGCAGGGGAAAAGGCAGCAGGAGGGAAGTTTTCTCCTGAGGCGCTCGGGGACTGTAACACCCCGACGTCCCCGTACCTGCGCGTGGCAGAGGAGCCTCTGTGGTGCTGCTGCTGCTGCTGCTGCTGCTCGTTGTTGGTCTCCTTCACCAGATTGCCCTTACAGCAGATCACCCTTAGCTTGTCTTGGTAGGAGGAGGCCAAGTAGATCGCTCCAGAGGAGATTGCAGGCCCGAGGTACCGCGGGTTTGGGATCTCCAAGTGGGCTCGTGCTGGAGTTCTGGGGAAAATTGCAGGAAAAATTCTTTACAGTGGCAGCACAGTACCTCTTCCTGGCAAATCCATGTATTCCTGCAAAACAGGCTGTTCAAAGGAATGAAAAAGAGAACAACTTACCCTAGAGAAGCTCGTGCCTGAATCTCGATCACTTCAAGGGAATTGAAGTGGGTCACGAACAGATAGGGCTCCCTGTAGGCTGGAGGAGCAGCACAAAGGCAGGAAAAAACACAAAATCCATTCTCTATTAAAAACTAAAACACAACAGCAAGCACAAGAGAGGCTGACAGCCCTGTGGGAAAACTAAGGAATACATTTTATGTAATGACACAGACACCATCAGTAAAGGGGGAGATGCAAGCTTAAAGAATTGTTGCTTTGAAACTGTATCTCAAGAACTTTACTAACCAAAGTATCATGAAAAAGGCATTAAAGCCAGACTATTAACTGAACAAAATCCTATAAGGCAGTGCAAAAGGCCTGAGGGAGCCATGCTGCCCTCATATATTCTTCACTATTTCAGAAACTTAGAGCATTGTTAAAAATTCCACTAGCAAGCTCAATCAGTGTCAGACCAGGAACATTAAGGAAATGGAACTTTGGTTTAGTTGTCCTTAAATTGCTTATATTTCAGAGGGTTTGCCATCTGGATTTATAATAAGCTTAAATCGTGGGATAAAGCTCCATAGTTTCTGAAAGAATTGGGAAGGGAAAAGGAGACAGAAGAGCTGAGTGCAGAGTACCCATTCTACAAGGATGCTTCCTGGTTTTAATAATCCCCATAATCCAAGGGATTGTCCCTCAACACCTACCAAAAGCTAAGGGCAAGCGGTTCCATTTCAGGTCATCTGTCCTACTGCGTCTTCCATAGGAATCCACAAAGACACCAAACTCTGCCAAGAGAAGTCACATCAGGTCATGAGCATCTGCCTGAATTTTATTCATTTATTTCTGAAGGGACAAAGACAGTTGTTTCCAAGCTTTTTAATCAGGGAACATCTTGCAAATCCCATATTGCCATGAATTACACCTAATGCCATGGAATTGGCTAGATGTAGGAATACTGCCAGGCCAAAAGGTGCTGCAATTCCACATCTCTTTGTTCCAGCTAAACTAAGGTCATTATTTAATCTACAGTTGGGAAGGAGATTCCTACCATTACTCACCCAAAATTACTGCTAGAGGGCTTTAGAAGGTTTGTGCATTCCCATGACAGTATACAAGAGGGCAACAAAAGCAGCTGTACAAAAAAATAACACCCTCTTACTTAATCACCAGAAGGTTAAAAAGTCTCATCTGTCTGCATGGAAACCAGACAAAGCCCAAGTCTGAGAGCCCCTGAACGTCTTATCGTGGTAATCAAACACCTGTTTGCACTTAACAGACTGCTGCAGTCCTTCCCTGAGGCCCAGAAATCTATGTGCAACAACTGATCCACCAGGCACGGAGAGCTTTCAAGCCTAAGCAGGTTCAACAGCAGGTGCTGCCAAAATTCAACAGCATTTGGGTACCTTCTGCAGCTCGGAGAACAGGAGTAGTGCAACACCTGCACAACCATCCACCACTTACCATGGAAACACAGCAGATACTCCTCCCTCTGCCCTGCTGGGTTCACTTGGATGATGCTGACTGGGAAACTGTTGGTGGAAGCAGCAAACACAGCAGAGGCCAAAGTGTGGTCATTTTTATCCAAAAACTCTGCAAAGGGAATGGAGAAAAACACTTTGATTTGCACCAACTTTTTTTCCTAAACTGCTCTCGAAAAGCCCTACAAAAGAACCTGTGGAGCTGCTTGGAGCATTTCTCAGGAATTATCTCCTACCCTCCAGTGTGTACTGCTTCATCTCAATTTCATAGAACTTGTTGGTTCCAATGATGATGCTGTAAGTGGTCAAATGGATGCAGCTGCAAGGCTCAGAGGTTTCAATCTCCTGGAAAAAAGGACAGTATGGACAGATATTAATCCCCTGTACCAGCTTACAGATAACACTGAGTCTGGAAAGTTGTATATTGCTACATTTATCTTTACTAAAGGGAGAGGTGGCAACCTCAAAGACCCTATCAGTCTCTCAAAAGCATGTGGACAAAAACTCTAGCTAAAAGAAAGTTTTGTGATGCTTGAATGTAGACTTGCATATCAACCCGCCTCGAGGGAGATCCTCTTCCTTTTGGAAGAATATATTGTTCTGGAAGATGTTCTTCTGCCCTGCAGCTCAGTTTTCTGGAGCAGTAGTGAACAGTTCCTTGTTTACAGTAGGTCACAGCCAATTTTCCTTCCTTCCTTGTACATTACAGAAAGATGTCCACCAAGACCTGCCTTGTGACTGAAGAGCTGGGATAGCTCTGCAGGTTAGCCTGACACAACACACAGATCCCCAGATCTTCTAAGGACAAGATTCCTTGCATAAATCCTACTTTATCTGGAAATTTAGTTGGCAGAAAAGAAAAACATATTCTGGGCTTGCTGCCATCTTGTTAGGATCTAACTGCAGTTGTCTGGATTAGTGGACACAAGGAAAACCTGCCCTTTAGAACACACCATTGCATGTTGTGCATGCAAGCCCTTGTAGACATTCCAGGAGTGCTGGCATCCCCGTTGCTTCCCCAGATCTCCATCATTCATGGAGAGGCTCCTCCTCTCCTGAGGAGGCCAGAGCTGCATGACTGCCCACTGCCTCCCTCCAGCAGTGCCCATGGAGCACTCAGGGATAACAGCCTCAGTCACACTGGAAAATGGACTGGTGCCTGCAAAGTCACCTGCAGAACCTCCCAGGGAGATGCACTTTGACTGGAGCATCCTTTAATTTGTGAATAGGAAAGGACATGAGTTTCTGGGTGCCAGCCTGTTTTAAGGCAGGTGGTGTTTAAACTTTTTGTCCTGAGGAGAGATCTCTGAGTGTATGATTACAGCTCAGTCCAATATCTCAAAAAATCACAGTTCTGTTCTGCATCTCTCCAAAAATGCCAACTCTTATTAAAGGAAATTGCTGCCTACTCCACTTTGAGTCAGTGCACAGTGCAATTTGTTATCATTTTAGCTGGCAAACAAATTTTCTTATGCACACAGAAAGATTTTAGATGTTTGCTCCAAAGCAAAGGCTTAGAGCACTATGTGAATTAACCTCAGCTACAGCAGAGAGGTACTGAACTCACCTTTCTGATACAGAACTTGCTCAAGCTCTCGTTGTACCGCAAAACCACCACTTTATTGGGCATGGCTGCACAGATACAAAGACTGTTCTCAACCTGTAAGGAAGATAACAAGCATAGTTCAGAATGGCAGTAAAATAAATTCTATTGCTGAGCATGTGAAACGGATCCGAGAACCTCTTGCCACAAAAAGAACTTCGCAGAGATAAGCAAGTACATTTTATTAATAGGGTAATTATTGTGAATTCATGAAATAATGAAAAGCCTCTTCACATTCTCAAAAAAGAACGTGAATTTAAATGGCTTCTATGATTTCTTTTATGCTTGAAAGACGTTAATAAAAAATGAGAAGGTTTTCCATAGAAAAGGAATTGACAAATTGAAATAGGTTAGGTCTACATTTTAACCCCTGAAACTTATCTTAAGCATCACTTTGAAATGAATGGTGTTCAGTTGGTTACCATAGTAGTCCACAGAAGTAACTGTTAACGAGAATTTTTGCTGTGATTAAATGCTCCATACCAAAACCAGTAATCTGTGTAAATGTCTAGAATTAAAGTGACACAAACACCTAAGGAAATTTGCTAGCCTGGAAGCATTCAAGAACAAAGACTGGACAGAATTCACTAGTTAAAAATCTCAAAATTGCAGTCAATAGTGAGGAGGCAGTAGTACCATACTGTGCTGAATTTCTTACTTTCTAGCAGTTTAAGCTATACCACCATGGCATCCTGACTGAATTGATCCACATTAGCAGCAAATCCCCCATTCTGTGTCCAGCTCAGTCTCTCTTCAGCCCATACATTCTTCTTATTTGAAGAAAAATATTCAGAGCAAGAATATAGACCTTGGATATATTGCCAGTGGAATAAAGATGCTGATTTGTTAATATTAAACTCAGAGCAGCCTAAGGGGTGGTCTGGGGGCACGAGGGAGCTGTAACTTACTTTTCCAGCAGCAAAAAGGTGGCATCCTTTGACAGCCTCAAAGACATTTGGTGAGACATCAGGCTGGGCTGGGAGGTGAGACTGGGCTAGAGACTGCTTCACTTTCTTTACATCAACAAGACACAGAGCCCTTTCTTCTCCTGGAAACAAAAAAAGTACATTTCATCAAGGGAGAACTCCCTATTCTCTACAGAAGTCTTACCTAAGCAGCAGCTCATTGTTACAGGCTGTTACTGTGGAAACAGTCACAAGGTACCATGTAGGATTCATTCCATATTATTCCTATTCAAACTGAAAGAGAAAACTTACAAAAACCCAACCCCACAACAGGCAGTAAATCCACCAGGAGAACAACCATTCCCTGCATGGATTATTAGTGTTGCTGAAGTCTAGCAGAACACAGTAATTGTGGCCTCATTAAGACACTATTCAAAATTAGCCAGGAAGTTTTATTTTGCCCTTCAGATCTTCTTAAAGTACAAGATGTTTTAATCACTCTGTGCCAACAGAACTGGCAAGGGATTTCCAAGAACTGCCCTAATGAATTGCATTACAGCCCAAGGCCAATTCTTCTCAGAAGTCCAGTGACAGACTAACACAACCTTCTCATTATATGTGAGATTTGATTTGTTCTCTACTCCCCTGACACAAATAAACCATGGACATCTTAAACCCTTACCAGGAAAAAAAAAAAAACAAACACAAAACTAGCAGAACGAGAGAATTTATTTTCCATTCCCTACAAATGTCATATAGATACTTGATAATTTGGGCTTTCAGATGAAGATACACCCTAATGTTCAGCATGCCTACATCCGTGTGGGAAGGATTATCTCTGGAAAACCACAGATGGAGAGATTAAAGCTAGTGTTCCTATCATAAAGAAATCTTAAATCATGACAGGAGTCCCAGCTTTGTTACAGGGCAAAAGAAGATAAGAGTTAGCCCTGTGTCCCAGTGATCACATAGCGGTCCTCAAATAGTTAATTACCTTAAAAAGGTTATGCAATAATTAGGAAAATATGTTCACTGATTAGCTCAACACTTTTTAAATTGAACTTAAAATGACGACTGACTTCTAACCTGGAAATGTTTTGTCCCTGGCTCTGAAATCAGTTTCTCATGAAGGTTTAACTGAGTGCTCATTCACATAATCCCTTACCAGCCAGCCCCAGACAAGACTGTGTTCATCATAGCAAGTCACTCCTGCCAATTTGCTGATAAAAAAGCCTGGAGCAAATCCAAAGGCAGGCAGGACCTGGCAGCACAAAACCACTGCAGGGCCAGTGGGAACACACAGCCCTGTACCTGCTATCATGAGCAGCTTCTCCAGATCCTTGATGAGGTGAATTTGGAAGACAGCTCCCATTCCTGGGATGTGCGTTAAGGAATTCTTCAGTACATTCAGGGCATAGAGACCTTCTTCTGCACCCACCAGTACTACCTACAACAGGGGAAAAAATAGCACTACGTGAGGAGAGCAAGGAATGCACCAACAGCAACTTGGGTGATACTCTTTAGCAGCGAAGAGAAAAACCAAACCCACAAACAAGTGCATAATTACAGATATTGCAATCAAGGTACCGTTTCCCTGAATCAATTATCCACTACTGAGAAAGCCCCAAGTGCATGTGACCATTACCTGGTCACTGAAGGGCATTGTGCAATTTATATCCAAACGGTCTTCACCCTCCAGCTTCAGCAGGGAGTTCCCCAGCAGTTTCTGCAAATGACAAAAATATTTTTTGTTGTTTGAGTTAATCTTCGTCTCCTTATCTGTGAGTATTTTAACAATGTAAGGTCATCATTTCAGACAGGCAAAGAGCTTGGCAAAGATTTCTTTTTCTCAGAAAGCTAAAAGTTGCAGGGATGCCTCCTACAAAAAAATTAGTAAACTTTTATCTACCGTAGACACAGTAAGGCAAACTGATCAGAATTATCCTAAATTCAGACAGAACCCGTTGTTGTCTCTATCCTTTCCATTTTCCCCAACCTCATACAAGAGAGCAGTGGAATTTTCCAAGGGGAAGGAGTAAAGAAATGTATAAAAGTTGGTGGGAGCATGTATTTTTCTCAGAGACAAAAGAAATGTGAGCCTGAGGAAAAAAAGAGTATTTCCTGCAGTCAGATATTCCCTACCTCCAGAGCTAATGTTCTCTTATGCAATGCCTCAGAATCCAACCTCCCTTTACCAGAAAAAATAGAGTTATCAGTGGAACAGTGTGAGAAAGGCTCTCCATAACTTAAACAAATCTGTTTAACCTCTTATTAGGAATAAAACTTAAACAAAAAGTACACACCCATACACACCTCCCCCCAGCAAGAAACATAAAATCTCTGACTCTCTAAGAATGGGAGGGGACGGAGGTTTCGCTTCTTTTAAGGTTTGCTCGTTCCATGTGGTACCTCCTTATGAGATTGGATTTAAACCGTGCCCTAACTGCTCTTCCTTTCTCTGCCAGAACTACAGAGATATTTTGGGATTCTCTTACTACACTCCTCAAGTCTAAAGAAGGGTGTTGTAATACACAGCATCAGTCTCACAGTGAACTGGCTCCTGGTGCTCAAATCAAAAGGCAGAAGCAATAACTTACCTTCAGTTAAACCTCAGCATGTCAAATACCGAAAAAATATTTTTCAAAACTCTGCTCCCTCCCAGAATATTTTATTATTAAATGAAACTTTTATACTCACAGCATCAGCCTCAGCTTTTTCTCTGGAAACTCTCCCACCTGCCACTATTGATTCCAGTGCTGTGACCCAGCGCTGTTTGTCAGGGAAGCTGGGTGCTAACAGGTAGAGTGTTCTACCAGGCCAGCAAGTGGTGTGTGGATGAGACTCCAATTTTAGGATATATGGCACATCTGAGATGTTATATAGATAGAATAAGACTTAGATTAGTTTTTGGAATATTGTCAGTGGACTTAAAATCAACACCTTTCAGCCTCATTGGAGAGAAGTTGTATTTATCATGACGTACCATGGCAATTTACACACTGGTTTCTCCTTTACAGGTCCTGCACAGGCTAGCTACTTTCACCTAAATATTAGCTGGATGTATGCAATCCATACATACAAGGCTGTTTTTAACTCAACAAAAATAATTTCTTGCCTTTTATTCAAAAGAGAAAGAAATTCCGTTGTGGAAAAACAAAACAAAACCAAACCAGCCACTTGACTAAAGTTTTCCCTGTACTGATTAAGAAAAATTTGTAAAAATTGGTTATGGAAACCTTTGTTTTTAACAGTCTGTATCCTTTAATGTAACAGTCAAGACATACAGAATCTTATCCATCAGTTCTGTTCAGTACATACAAATCAGCACATCAACATTTTTTCATAATAAGAGACTGTATACACCCCACAGCATTTCTAAGTTAATGGCTTTGTGGTCAGAGCACAATGGTGGTAGGAGTTATGACACATCACAGTTAATAGAGAAGAAATTTCAGTAAACCGAGTGTTAATGCTACAAATCTCTTAAATTTACTTCCATTTGGGTTGATGACTATATTAACCACAGTTCTACCACGACAGAAGCAACAGCCTGGGTGTAACTAGATCTGGAGTGCTGAGCTACTCCCCGAATTCAGATGGAGGTAAATTACAGCATTACACAATGAAAGCTCGAGGGAGAAAATTCTGTTCAGCCGAACAAGGCTAACTGATGGCAAGCAAGATGAAATCCATTTGACCTCATCTATGTAAGATTCTCACCTGTCTTTGCTGTATTGGTAAGCTCAGTAGCTCCTACAGCTCCATGAACAGTTACATCACCATCAGGAAGGCAGAGCTCAAATTCCTCCAGAGGCCTCTGTCCAGCTGCAGGAGAATGGGGAGACAGATTAGGAATGGACAAACAGGTAACAAGAAAATAACTGTGACAGCAAAAGGAATGTGGATGCACACTGGACGTTTTCACAGGTGGATTATTATGACATGCCAGCCAATAAAATGGCTAAGGGTGTAGAAAAAATAATGTTGCTTTATCACTGAAGATTAAGCAAAATTTAAATTATACAGCCATAGCAAGCAGTAATAATCTTTAAGCCTCTCAACCCACCAACTAGTATCTGAAGATTAAAATATATGTTCTTGCTGGAAATTCTAAGTTACCTTCTCTTGCTTCTGCATCATAAATGAGCACTTTGGTTCCTTCCAGGACAATATACTTCCTGTCCCAGCCCTGTTGCCCACGTTTATTATTCCTGAGGAAAATAAGCACAAAGCCAGGTTGGACTTTCTGCTTGGATTCTACATAAAGCAAGCATGTAACTCCTATAAAAGAGAAATTTCAGTGGTAGCAATTGTAATTACAGTGGTGGTAACTGCAATGCCCACGTAGTGGGCCTGTACCAATTATCTCATTGTAAGAGCCAGGGTAATATAAGGCCAAGTATTTCAGCACCTGACACGGCACCAGGATTCCTGTTTTTACCTTGGCACTTTCATCCACCCTTCAAGACGCAGACTGGTGCTTGGCTCCTTCAGCTGCAGGCCAGGGGAATTCATCTTATCCCGGCAGAACGCTTCCGAGAAGTGCGTGGCATATTCTGCTGGCAGCCCACAAGTAGCTGGCAAGCAAGTTGAGCATTTTGGGTGACACATCACTTGGCATTCTGACAAGAGGACAGGGAAAAACTTCTGTTAAATGACCAAAAAAATAAAAATAAAAATCATGACACAGCTGTCTCAGCTTCTAACACACAAATCCCAGCTTCGCCAAGGTTCCCCTTCCACTCCAAACCACCAGATGTTTCCTGAATGTTTGCACCAAGCAGAGTCTTCACACTCGGTCTCTTTCCCTGTTCTAGATGGCTGGTGCCTTCTCCCACCCCAAGCTGTGCAGTGTTTTGCCCTTACCCAGACACTTGGAGGCCTGCCTGCCGAAGTGCACCGTGTCCAGGCACACGGCACACTTGGTGGCCCTCATGTTGAGCCCCACGTTGAAGCGATGGGGGATGTTGTGGTGCATTCGCTCCTTCAGGCGCCGGCTGTACTCTGCGAGGGACAAAACTCATCAGCAGGGGAAAAACAAAATCAATAAATTGACAGATAGAAAAAGAGGAGCCGAGCAGGAGCCTACCCTCTGGTGTGGAGGATTCCTTCCTGCGGCTGGAGGGGGGAGCCAGCAGACTGATGGGCGTGGGCTGGTGCTCTGGGGAGCGCACTATGGCAGACATGATGATCTGCTGCCTGGCTGTGGCCGGGGTGGAGGGGTGAGGGTGGTCGGATATTTTCCGATGAGCAGCTACAGACAAGACAAATGTCCCTGGTTAACATGACCAACGTGGCACTCTGGTTCCTTGCAGGGCTCTGTGTGACCAGCCTGCAGTTACAGCCCACAAAATCAAGCGTAGCCTGATTGTAACTTCACAGCAGTGGCAATAATTAAACAACAAATGTTATTGCTAGAGTGGCACACAATTAAAGGCACGTTTTCAGACCAAAAATGCGTGCCTCCCTCCAGATTAACCTTTTCTGTTAACCCCTACCTTCTTCACGAGCAGATCTGAGTTCAATGCGTGTTTTCTGTAGAGCCTCCTCCAGCTCAGCAGAACGAGCCTTCTCCTTCTCCAGTGCCACTTTCAGCTCATTGTATTGCAGGGGAACCTGTGTGGGTAAAGAAGGGTCCTCTTTCCGCCGACTAAACAGGCCCTAGCAACAGAAACACACAGACAACTCCTAACTCCTAGCAAGAGATGGCTTAATCTAGGCAAAGTGACACTCGCTAGTGGCAGTCCGGCCAGAGGGCCTAATGGCAATTCTGTTATGTGTAAGGATGGATTTTTAGTTCATATTGGCACTGGAGAGAAAAATGTCAAGATATGGATTAATTTAAAGAGGGACTTACATTACCTGTTAGTACTCACACCTGGAGTTTCCGAAAGCATCTAAACAGAGGATCTCAAAATACGTGGTTAAAATTAAATCACTTCATTCAAAATGACAGCACAGCTTATGACAAAGATGTGACACAAGTCACATCACCTGACTGATCAGTCCTATGCTGTGACTACAGGACAACCACTCTTGATACACAATAGGCTCGTATACATATACATACTTACCATGAAAAAAAACCGCTTAAAATTCTGTATTCCTACAGCCTCACTGAGGTGTAGCTACCAGGTTGTAACCTAAGTATTCTAGGAAGAACAAAATACCAGAAAAGCCACAAAGAACACATTCTGCCTAGTAAAGTTTGTGTTCACCAACTCAGAACGGTCTAAAATGAGGACAACATTTTGTTACACAAAGAAAGATAGAATATTAAGAATACACAGCACGTAACTAATTACAAAACCATTTAATTCCATGCCTCTCAAACCTTCTTCACCCACCTTTTTCTTTTTTGCTGGTTGGTCCATCTTTGCCTGCAGGAAATCAATGAGTTTAGTTTGCTGAGAAATAGTGCCCTCCATTTTCACTTTTTCATGGGAATAGAGAACCTGTGAATCACACACAGATGCAAGAAATTTCATCTTAACAGAAGAAACAAACAAATAACTCAACAGTAAAACAGAGCTAAAAAATACCATAAAGAGCATAAAAAATACCATTTCACACAGAAACTGACATCCTAAAGCCTCACTGGGAATGAGGCAGGGCACTGCCCTGCTTCCTCATCCTCACCTGAATGTTTTCCAGCTGATATTCCAGGTCACTTCTTTCAGTCTTCAGAAGATCTGCTCGGTCCAGAGCCTCTTGCAGACCTTGAGTCAGGCGGAAGATGTGATTCTTCTGCAGATCCATTTGCTGCTGCAGCTTTGCCTGCTGTTGAAAGGAAAACAAAGGCCAGTGTTTTGGGTTTGTTGTCTTCTTGTTTGTAAGGAAAAGCTATTAAATGTTGTAACTTCTTGTAAAATGATCATCATTGCAGAACTTATAAATAAACACACAATTCTTCAAAAGCTGGAAAATTACAATACTGTACAAGATTCCTTTCAGAATGCATTGTGATTAAACAAGCATTTCTGTGTATTTATATTAATCTGTAGCAACACCATTTTCTCTGTACAACTACCAGAAGCCACCTCAGTACTTCATAAAAATAAAACTATAAACTTTACTATAAACCCAGACAGTCATAGTCACATGAGAAGGAAAATAATGACCAGCTGTTTACATCTTTGTCTCCAATTAACAGCAGAGGGCACATGACAAAATACTCCTAATTCTTTTAGGATTTACACTTTCTTGACAAGAAAGTCCCTGACTAGGAAAACCACGAACACTCTTATGTCACAAAGCAAGAGCCAGAAATCTTTTGTGGTGATGCATAAAGGAATAGGCAACCTGTCAGTACCCCAAGGATACCAGAAACCTCTAATTGCCCTAACTGTCCATAAACACCCCTGAAATCCTCCTCTAGAACCTCTTTCCCCACCACCCAGAACTGACTACCTGCATTCGATTACTCCCTGATATGGTGCAGGTGTGTGACCTTGGTTCCAAATCCTGTGACCCAAATTAATGCTGAAAAGAGCTGTGAGAAGCCCCACCTGTGGCCTCCAGGTGTGCACCCTCAGCATGTTGGCTCCAGAGCTGGTTTTAAGCTATGGCCCTTGGCCTTGGCCTGGTCAGAGCTGTGTCTGGGTACCGACCTGGCCTTACAGACCTGACCTAGAACCTTCAGCAAATCTGCCCTGATCCTCTTGTTCAGGTCCTGTGGGCTTGAGCCTGCAGGCTGCAAGGTCCTGAGCCTGGCATGCTGTCCCCCGTGGCTGCCAGCTCCCCTGCTCCTGAGGAGCAGCTCGCTTTTACTGCTCCCTGACATGGCCACACACTCAGACAACTTTTAAGTGAAAACAACTCCCCCAACTTGATTAATCTCCCCAGTTATACAGAAGGATGGATGTGTAGCTCTTATTCACACAACCTCCCCTCCTCAAGATGTGGAACCTTCTGAAGTTCTAACATGAATCTCCAAGGTTACCTCCTCCAGAAGCCTCTGCTTGAGCTCCCTTTCTGTCTCAAGCTTCTGCTGTAAACTGCGGGCGTTCATCTCCAGCATGGCGTGCTTCTTCTCCAGGTCATTGAGCTGGGAAAGAGGGTCAGAACAGCATTGAACACTAATAAATATAGTTCCACAGTCTTAAAATCCAACTTCACCAAGCACATGCTGAAAAAAAAAATGATAAAATTAGACTTCGGTTTCTGGGGAAAAACCAGCCAAAAGACATTTTGGCTTGTTTAAATGCAGATACCAAGTTATTGAAGGACTTCATTCCAGGCATCATAGGCTGCTGTCTGCTTTAGTCTTTTTCAAAGAAAATCTGAGGTCTTCAGCTTGAAGATAGAATTCTATTCTATGCCCTCCAGACTTTTTAATTTGTCTCTATAATATCTTGAAAAAAGCTGCTCAAGGCCACATTTCTGAAAGTACTACCAGTGGAAAAGTATTTAATCTAATTATTAAAGTCCAGGATTGAAAGTTACTTACCTTATCAGAAAGGCTCTCTGCTTTGAGTTTTTGTTCCTTGAGTGCTTGCTGCAGGGCCAGAATCTCTGCCTTGTGTTCCTTGACAGCCAGTTCTACCACCTGGCGAGACTCAGTAATACGCTGATCTGCTCTCACTCTGCATTAAAATGGAAAATAATGTTACCTAACTCCTTGCAGGCTTGACCTCTCCCGAGCAGGCAGTGGCATCAATAACTCTTTCAGGGGTTGCCTCAAATTCAAGATGTTACATTAGAAAGCCAGACTGTTTGCTGCAACACTTTTATATTATATAACCCTGTTCCTCCCCTTGCTAGAGCTACAGCCTTAAAAATTTCAAGACCCCACAAGAACAGTCAGGAGCAAAGACAATTTTTCCATAAAATAAAATAAAAGACAAGAAATCAAGACATTTTATAAATTACAATGATAAATACCACTCCCCTTGAATCGTTCACTTGCAAAGAAACAAAAGGAACAATATCAGTGATGACTATTAACCAATAAACCATTTTTAGAACTACCTCACAAGATTTTATATTTAGCTCCAACTCCCATATCCTATGCTAAATATAATTTTTGCACTAGCTTCTATAGAGCATTTTCATAAAAGTTAATAAAAGGGAAGGACGGGAGAAAGACCTGCTCTGTTTCTCAGTATCCAGCATCCTCTGCAACTCTCTAACTCGACATTCAAACTGGGACTTCTCATCCCCTAGAACATTTCTCCATGCTTCCCACTGGCGCTCTTTCTCCAGGAGTTCATCATTCAGGGCCTCCAAGTCCATTACTTGCTCTTCCAGCATCGTACATGTTGTCTTCAAGGCCTCCATAGTCTAAAAATAAATCCTCCTATCAATTCTCACATCCCACATCAAGCGTGCACTTTCAGCTTCAGCCTTACCATTTCGATTACAGTACATGCAAATCGGCAGCGAACAGGAGCTGGGAAATCACAGCCCATTTATTTCAAGGTTCCTGTACATTCACTTGTGATCCCTGATAATCTCAGGTTGGTCTCATCATGAACATTTCCAGATTTCCAGGGCCACAAAATTAAAATGAGTAATTCTAAATGACAATGGCTTCAGAGTGTAGGATTGATAAATAAAATTGTGTAAAAACACGATGGGAAATACCAAAAGTTTCCATTCTCTCAACTGCCCTGGGAAGGAAGGCTTAAATGCCACTGCCCTCAGAAGCATCACTTCTTATGGGTTTCTAGATGTAAAAGGAATTTTTGCCAGCCCCCACAAAGAGCTCCTGGCCCAGACTGAGAGAGCCTTACTTGTTTCTGGCTGGTCAGCTGCATCTCCCTCTCAGTGATCTCTCGGCGGAGATGATCGACTTCGCTCCGCAGCTGGACAACCTCGTCATTGGCCCCTGAGGCCTCGTCAAGTTGTTTGGACAGGAAGAAATTCTGGTTGTTCAGCTCTGCATTGTCTTCAGTGAGCTGGTTCAGCTGCTCTTCCAAATCTGAAATCACCTAGAAAGAAAAAAAAATTACATGTGAGCGAGCACAGGTTTTTGAAGAAGCATTCTCACACATTCATTGCCAAGCTTTTACATTTTTCTAATGCAAACAAATGGGCAGTATTATAGTGGTAGATATTTGTGCATAGTAATGTACTTGGGTTAGGAGTAGAGTTTTGTGTCTTAGAGAAAATAGCTTGTTTTTTTTTAAATCTGGTTCAGAGCATAAATATGCTGCAATGCAATTTATTGTTTGAGAGACCTGTCATAGCTAAAGCAATGGATTGGGAGCCAGGAGCTCTGGCTGGATTCTCAGCTCTGCTGCTGACTTACAGTGACCTTTTGCCAAAGCACTTCACCTTTTTTTTTTGCCTCAATCTCCCCTGAGTGCATTGAGGCTAATTACTCTCAGAAAGGCTTCCAAAGTGTTTAAAAAAAAAAGTGTATCGAAAAAAAGTGTTTTGAAGAAAACAGACCAAGAGGTGCAGTGGAGGCAGGTCAACCTGATGGATATCCCTGGGAATTGCTTACATTGTTATTTATAACACTGGGTATAACCAGGAAAGGCAGGAAAATGTTAAGAAAATACATTCTATCAAAGTAACAGCATTATGGATGGCAGCTGAGTTCACACGAGGGAAGAAACCAGTGTGGCAACACAACACAGAAAATCACTGAAAAGCAAAAACTCAACAAGGCCATTGCCAAAGTGGAAGCAACCATTTGTTCAATCAACATTAACTAAAAGCTTTAAACCACAGTCCCCTCCAATTGAAAGACAAATATAAACAATGGTGGACCATTTTCACAGTTGGTTTCATGAATGAAAGGCTTGAACACTGGGTGGATGAATATGTACCTCCTCCTAACTCAAAACCAACATCACCACAACAGAAGAGAAAGAATCCTCAATATAATCTTGAAATCAGCTTAATAAAAAGAATTTCAGAAACTGGTAAACTCTATACAATTCACATTCAACTCTTAAAACTATGTTCTAGAGGCTCTTTTGCCTGGATGCCAAAGAAAAGTGAATAAGATACTTCATAAAATGGGAAAAATTAAAATCTCAGAGCACAGTTGGCCACACATTCAAATTTAAATGTTCCAATTTCCTACACAAGCCAAGGACTTAAATATCTAAAGCAGTAGAGGATAGAGCACACAGCTCTTCTCAGCTCTCTGGAAAGATGACAACCATTTCTTTTTGAAGAATCTGTAATGCATATTTTGGCAGCCTTTTACCGTGCCTCTCCTAGATCTAAATTAACAGTATTTGGTTTTTAAACTGTGAGCAGAAAAAGTCCAACAGCCATTACTCCCTGCTGGGTGAAGGGGAGTTCCTGCCACTCATATGTTCAGGGTCAGATCAAGATGATTCACACTTCAAAACACAACATTTCTGAAGAAATCTGATCATGTGCTTGTTTCTAAGCACTCTCACTGCCCCATTCAAAATACACATTTTCCTCTGCATTGTTTGCACCAAGCTTTCAGAGGGGGCAGCCTGTGTCGTAAGGACACGTTAGTGCCTATACTGCTACAGAAATAAGAACTTTGATATGTTTATACAAACAAAAAGGAGCAAAAGAACATTTGTTTTTACAGTGTTTTACCTACTGCTCTTACAACAGCTGAGATCTCTGCTAACTGCCAGATAAGAAACTCACTTTTGCTTCCATTTGTTTTAATTTTATGTTTAACCACACCATGTATCTAGGCAGTTTCAAGATATATTTTATACATTCATGGTTTCTTCCACATCTATTTTAGATACTAGTACAAGTAATTTCTACCAAAAAATATTAAGCTAGTTTTGAAATACAAGAAAACAGGGATGAGAGAAACTCAAAATGGATAAAGTAATATGCAGAGTTGTTATGTCCAACTACTTAATTAATTATTAAAACTGGCTGTATTTCAAGTTGATTTTATTCCTTAAGGGCTGGAAGTTAAGCTTCCATTTTCTTTTATTCTAGGTTTTGAGATTTTGACTTCTTTCCCTGAATACAACTAAAATTAAACCAGATCATATTATATTTCATTGCTACATTTTATCTAGTAGGATATTTTTGGATAACTTCAGACAAATAACAAAGCAGTTAAGAAAGAAGGGTTCCAGAAGATGTGACATGATCCGTTTCCTTCCTCTGACAGTGTATTTACTGACAATTCCAGAACACCTTGGCTTAAATTCCAAATTTATAATAGCCTAGATAATGTAATCTAGATAGATAGATAAAATTCTTCTTTTAAAAAGAGAAAATTTGCTCCTCTTGGTAACAATCTTCCATTTTTCATGGGCAAACGGGATGTTTGTTAACAATTCCAATTGCTACCTACAGCTATGTATAACCCAACAGGATTAGAGAGTTTATTAACAATATAAAGCCTAAAGTGTAATAGTGATAATAATAATAATAATAAAGTGTAATGGATAATAGTGATATAGGAAAATGGGATGTAGTGTAATATAAATGCCTGTCCTGGGGATCAACAAAAAAGAAAACACAGATCAAAAAAAAAACCCCACATTTAATTGGAAATGTTGTCTTAGGCCTACATACATACAAACAACCTATACCAGAATCTTTTATCTGGAAAGAATCAATGGCTTTAGATATTTTTCTTTTCAGTTAAGGAAATCCCCAGGCAAAAAAAGAGCCCCAAAAAACCCCAAACCAACCAACCAACCCTGAGCTATTCTGAGGTAAATGTGAAGTAGATTAAAGGAAAGTCAGTAAGAATATGCTATTATATCCTTTAGAAACCCATAATGTAATTAGAAAAATCTTTGCATTATAAGTTTATAAATTAACCAAACACCTGAAAGCTTGGAAAAGCAATTCTAGACAATCTAGACAGCCACTGCTTCTCTGCCACTGCATCACCACTCACAGAGCAACTGGAAGTTTCTCCTCTATTTATGCACATCTTCATCACAACTAATCCATAAAACAGAGGTATCATCTAACTCCAGAGATTGTTCACTGCACACCACATCTAAGCACACAGCTTATCTTTATCCTGATGCAGAGCAGTGTATCTCATTTTCAAATATTGCAGAGCAACCCAAGCATAGCAGCTCCTCAGCAGAAGGGGCCGTATCCAGCATAATTCCCTCCTCACTGAACAGTCTGAGGAAAGCAAAGTATCCCCTCTAGTGAGACTGAGCAGATTCACAGCTGTGACCCCTGGTCCTACAAAACTCTCCAGCCATGGATCAAATCAAGTATCAGAGCAACAAACAGTCAGTGCCGTGATGATTTGGTTTGCATATCAGACAAAATGTACTGAATTTAATCCATATGCTCCACATATCAAAACCACTGGCACAATAATGAGGAAAAGGAGAAAATTGAGGAGTTTTATTTATATATTGGTAACTGCAGCTTGCAAACTTCCCCATACCCTATTCCTTCATGAAGGTGTCTCAGTTCTCAGATGCCATCAACAAACAAGCAGAAAAATGCTAGGACACAGCAAGGGAAACTGTTTTGGGATGCTATCAGCAGTGTCTCATTTGGAGTTTAATGTAATTCCAGACTAATAGTGTTGCTCTATCCATTTCCACTCCTCCCCATCCCCACTAATCTTTACCAGAAAGCTACCTGTCAGAAGTAAATAGGAAACAAGAAAAAACTGTCTCTTAGCCCCAAATTATTATGAGGAGGAAGTGAGAGCAGACATCAGACTCCTTTTGTCTTTACCTACTCTCTGAGACAAAGCTTTTCAGGCAGAGAAATCCCAACACTGAGAGGCTCAGGCTCTCAAACAGGGCTGCAGATAAGATTCTGTTCCATCAATACCTAACAATGAATCCCTCACTTTCCTCCCCTCTCCATAGTCAGACATCTGTGCTTGAAACACACCTTAAACATGCATCTCAGTCTCCAAAAACCCATCATGGTTCATCTTGAGGGACACTGGGAGCTGCTGTGGTAGGACACTGCCCAGAGTGCATTCCTCTCCTTCACACAGCCAGCCAGGATTAAAACACCCAGCCCCTGTGTTCCTGTCCTAGGTCTCAGAAGATGAGCTGCCTCTCCCAAACAGGAGCCTCTTCTTCAAATGACAATGATGTTGTCCACAGTGAAGGTCTCATTAACATCTCTCATAGCAATGCCTTAGAAGTCTCTGATTTTTTTTTGTCAGGCTACAAAAACTACAAAGCTCCATTTCTGCCTGTAACTGGTATCTGCCATTATATTTTCTATGAAATGGGAATCAAGGATAACCCCTTCCACCCAACAGGAATGTTACTTTTCAAAAAAAAATTAACAAAGCCATATAAAAGTTTTTGCCTGGGTATTAACCTCGTCACAGTGGGCAAGATTCCTTTACTCTGAAACATAATTTACCATCAAAGTAACATCTTTGGGTATTATTTTGGAAGTTCACAGAAACATAGATTATTCTCTTATGTCAACTTATTGAGCCAATGGGGAATCATGATCTTAGACTGAATTCAGCAGAAATTCACGCATAACTAAAATTATACCTTTCTAATGGGCTTGCAGATTTAATGCCTCAGTATCCAATCTCTTGCACAAGTGCAGATCAAGCCTGTTAATGTTTAAGACTGGAACACAAGATGATGACAAAAGAAACTCAAGAAGGGAAGATAAACCTTGTTTTTATTGGAGAAAACTTGAATAAATGGAAATGCAATATCCAATTGGTAATAAGAAATGCCACTCATTGCTAAAAGCAACAGCCTGTACCTGAAAAATCCAGATGATTCAGATGGTGGTTTTCTGGTATTTTACTAAGCTGAGTGCAAGGCTTTTATAGGACTCTTTCCTGCTAAATATTTAAAGGCTTTACTGCATGTTTACTGGAAGTTTCCTTTTGGAAACAATTCTATTATTATTTAGATAACTGAGTTGTATTTTTAACTTTAAATGTGTTACTGATCTCAGAACAAGCCATAATTCAGAGGTATCTGGAATCAACTGACAAATGTATATTTTCCTATTTAAAAATGCCTTTTATTTCTAGATCTTTCTTTGATTGCCTGGAAAAGACTTTTAACACTCAAATGGACCATTTATTTTGTAGAATAAACATAGGGGACTAGTTCTTCTCCCTCAACAGATTTGCTGGATGAGCTATCATTGTGGGAAGGTTGTGATATGACTCTGTGTGCCCACGAGCACATGTGTGTGTACAGCAGGTACCACAAGTTACAATTTTTGTTGCAATTACATATCCTACTATTTCTTGCTCTACAGAGAAAACAGGAGAAAGGAGAACTCAAAAACACCTCCTTGGTCAGAGACCTCAGTGAAAGGAAGAACAAGTGTGCAATGAGGATATAAGGAAAGCAGACACAGCCTTCTCTACAATCAGAAGCTGTGACCTTTGTGAAGCTAGAGAAACAGGAACAATACCAAAGAAAGTAGATTAAGTATTTTTATTTATCTTTTGAAGACTACAAAAGTACTGAAGTAATTCAATTTTTCAATATTTTTTTCCTGTCTAATCTTATTTTCGTAATTCTTACGCTGTTAGGGCTTCTCAATAAGATCAAATAAAAAGTAATTCCCTACCAAAGTTTGCCAGACTAGTTCAAGGAGTTTGTGTCAGCTTAAAAAGGATCTCTCTTGAGAACTTCCTGAAAGAATAAATCCATTCTTTATCATGCTGTATAAGTAGCAGCATATTACAATTATTCCCTTGAAGTGTTGTTGGATTTTAAAAGGAGTATAAATTCTAATCACCTTCAAGTGGAGTCACACGGTCACCAAAAAGCACAGCCTGCATTATACTGGTACCATCAGATAAAAACAAGTTTGAAACATCTGGTGAAAGCAGTGTAATTAGCATTTCTTGACCCTCACTGGCAACAGAAGATTGCCCTGATTTCCTCATTCCTCAGGGCAGGATGGACAGCCAGGAGCAGTCATAACACACAACATGAAATTATCTTTCCATGGTCAATTAAATTATATATGCATTCTCCTGGGCTGGAAAGAGAATGTATGATGAGCATGTATTATTCATTTAGGAACTATTTAATTAATTTCTTATTGATGAGGATGTCTGATCCCACTTATCCCACTGAAGGGCCTTACAATGCACAACACTTTTACAAGTCCTTTGAAGCCCTTGACATTCTGGAAATGTTATGGGTCATTCTTCACTGCTGGAGCTTGTTCCCCACACTCAGAGCTGAACTGTCACTGGATAATGAGTTCCAGCTCTGCAAGGCAGCTGACCCTGCAGTCAACAGAGGCCACAGAGTTCCCACACCTGTTTTTTTCCTGCAAGGAGATAACAAAAGTGTTTTCACAGAAAGCTGTCACTCTGAATGAAAGGCAAGATCCAGAGCAACAGAAGATAGCTCTGGATGTAAGATCTGTGATGACACATAGGGAGCTAGACATTCCATCTAAGAAAATGAGGAAGGGAACAGAAAGTGAAGTTTCTTGTGTAGGATTTCTTTTAGATGGAGGTTAAAACACTTTGGAAAGCTGTAATTCCTCTTTTCCTCCTATCTAGATATTCTATGTCCATAAGAACCTCCTTGCTTAATGCTAAAGGGCAAGTGAGGAAAACAGAGTGACTCTCATGCTGAAAAGATAACTTAAAAGATGAAAGCTTATAATACATTAGAGACTTACTCATATACAGCGTGAAAAACTACATTTGAGGAAATCAAATTACTTGAGGAAGCAGGGAAACAATCAAGATAAAAAGTCCCAGCAATTAAACTCTGCTTACAGTGTGGGGTAGAGAAAAAAAGCCCAGAATAATTTACAATCACTGCTGACCCAGAGGGTTGTGGTCTTTATCCAACACCTGTGTAATTCCTGTCGTTGGAAGGCAGATACTCTCTATCAGCTACCATGAACAACTCTGAAGATAGTGCTAAACTGCAAGAATCCCTGTGGATAGACAAAGCCCTTGGACATCTGTCCTGGACTGATGAAATGAATCTGAAAACATGTCAAAGATCTCAAGCAACAGAAGGTGAAAATTCAGATCCTGAAGTTCTCTCTACTATATGTCAATGTATTTTTTGGAACCTTAAGATTTCTTGTCTCTTCAAACAGTGTTAAAGTCCTCCTTAAAACCCACTCTGGCCTAGATCTACAATGCAGCTCAGGATTTGGACAGGTAGATCTTTTCTTCTTGTGAGCAGAAAAGATCTTCAACTATAGTCAGTTTTTGCAGCTGCTACACCATTCTTATTAGCTGCACTGCAATGAGATATTTTAATTTATTTTCTTCTCCAAAAAGAAGAACAGTGACAATTTCATGATCAGACTACAACCTCAAAATTGAGGTTTACCTGAAACCTAAAAGAAATCCAATCAAATCCATCCAGCTCCTACTAGCACCTTGAAGCCAGAAGTCCACATTAGGAACTAGTGTCATCAAGGATTAAATGAGGAAATTGTTTGTTTCATTATCCTTAATTTCAAAATAATTCAATGATCTGTATTTAATACTCACTGTGCAGCTATTACGAAGGGCTTCAAATTTACGCTGGATTTCATCTCTATGTGCCTAAAGGAGGTAAGAAGTTAATCATCAATTTTTCATACATTAGAATTCGAGAATGCTGTTGCTAAACAAACTGCAGAACAATCTACCAGCAAGCAAAGTTTGGAAGGCAGATGCTGCAGGCTATGAAAGCACTTTGCAGTGGCAAAGAACTGATTAGCAAAAGTCCCATCCTACTTAATCAAAATACACTTATGCTCCCAGCTCTGAAGTGCTTTAGGAAAATGTACAAGCTCAAGAATGGAATTATGTAACAGGTTCCATCTGAAATGGCACCAGAAGACTTGCTGATCGCATGTTAAGTTTTTACATTCTTGACATTTTAATTTGAGTTGGTTTTACTTCCATATCCGGATTGGTGTTTCATAGAAAATAAATACTGCATACAATTTAATGCTTGCAAAGAAAAAACTATAATGATGTATAATGCAAGCTACCCCAAACAGCTCTGCCAATCTACCTGAATCCTACCATATAGTCCCATATATAAGCCTGAGCCTCTCTAAAAAGCAGTGATAAAACATAATAATCAATTCTTTGGAGGACAGCATCTAAAGTACAGAAAAGTTCAAACACTCATTTTAAAGAATGCAGTATTGCATGCACCATTTTATCCCCTAATTTACAAGCAAAGCATGACAAAGCAAAAAGTTCTTGTTTCAGCCTCATGGCCTCTCTCAAAATTCAGAGTGATTTAGTAAGTGTCTAATGGCATGTGCTATCTGAAAACTTAACAAACGAAAGGTTACTGCTGAAGCACATCCAGCCACCTTTCTTCATTCTGAAGATTTTCCTTAGAGCCAAGAGACTAAACAGGAAAAAAAAAAAGTTCAGCAGAAGTCAAATATGAGAGCTTAAAAGCTATCTTACCACAACAGGCAATGTGAAAAATAAAAGTATGCAAAAAACTCCATGACAGGAATAGTCCCAACCCTACTGGGCTGGACTGTCTACCAGCAGCTGGTCCAGCACTACCAGTTTGCCCCATAAATTGGAGCAATAAGTGAGTGAACACAGGTCATGAATATTCATCTGTTTCACTGCTGGGTAAAGATCCCAAGCGCGTTGCCAGCGCCCTGGCAGCAATAGTGGCTGTTATGCAAAGCTTTCAGCTGGGAAGGGACTGCCTCAGTTCTGAGCAAAAAGGAACCTGATGCCATTTCTATTCAGTTATTCTCAGGCCTCGATGCTGCTGCTGCACTTGCCCAGCCTGTGCCCACTTTAGAACTGAGGGAATGGTTCTGCCATTCATCTGCCCAAAGCAGCAGCATAATACCAGCGTCCATATCAGCTGAGCCCACCTCCCCTCCCAAAAACCAGCAGTGGCAGCAATATTTGGAACAGTTCTTTGATTAAATGCCACTGGAGCACAAGAATGCACATTTTCAACACTTCCAAATCACAGGATTTGGAGGTCATTAAAGGCTGCTACTCAAGGGGGCGGTTAGCTGGTAGCAAACTTTCTACCCGCAACCCTGGGAACCTTTTGTGAAGGAAATATTTCTTAGAATCAAACAGCTTGAAAGCATCTTTTTGTGCACAAGAAACAGCAACCAGCAGCATATAATCTAGAACTCCATTTACAGGGGGTTGGGGTGGAAGAGGGTGGCAGGACTTGAACTTTGTTTTCCTTTCTATCACTCACACACCTCACCAGACTGCAAGACACACATGACAATTTTTTAATGAAACAAGCATTGGAATAAAATTATGTATTAGAACACTCTCCCTAGGAATTTGGTGGGGTTTGTTTTTCCCCTGAATAAGTATCCTCAAAGCAGGGTAACTGATAAGAAGAAAAAAAATCATCAAAACATTTATGACCATCAAGTACTTTCAAACTCATGAGCTACTATTTAAATAAATCACAGAGTTAAATTCCTAACAATACCAATTTCAGATGCAACGTTCACCTCAAAACAAAAGTAATAATGCTCCATTATTAACAAGCCATCAGTCAATTAGCAATGAACCATCACTAGGAAGTATTCATATGGTTAAAGGTAAAATTTGGCACTTTAGCCATTCACGCCTTTATCAACACAAGGCACAATTCATATCCATTTCTGAAAATTAAAAATTAGATCATATAAATTCCTTTTAACCTCTTTATGAAACATGCACCTACGTAATTCTAGTGCGTATCTGCAGCTCACAGGACAAGTTTCAGGGCTCACCGTGAGAGCTTGAATCTCCTCCTCTGCCTCAGCTGTGGTCTCCTCCAGCTCAGTCTTGGCCTCGCGGAGCTGGTTCTCCAGGGCTGTCCGTGCAGCCTGCAGCCCAGTGATCTGGGATTCCCGCTCCTGCAGGGTCAGCTGCAGCTCTGTCAGCTGCCTCTTCAGCTCCAGCTTTTGCTCTTCATGCTCTAGACTAACCTGAAGAAAGACAAAGTAGCATCCAAATGTAAGTTACTAACAAGGATGTGACAGGCAATCTAGTCTCGTTTCAGAACCCAATTTAAGATGCCATTGCCATGTCTATTCCAAAAATCACATCCTGACAGACTGCTTAATGCACTGAGAAATCAAAGACACAGCTTTGTCTCCTCCCTAAAACCTACTGGTTTTCTTGGAAAAAAACAATCTGGCCTTTTGAAACAACAAGGGCACAAGAATAGTTCCAGCTGTAACTCAAACATATCAAACACTGATAGAAAATGTTGAAGTTTGTAATGAACTTTCTTCACTAAAGCTGAGTCACTAAGGATCTTTATTTGGGAATCTCTGAGTATACATTACATACATTTTGCAATCAACTTCCATGTTTCATCTTCCTTTCATATTCCTCTTAAAGAAACCCACCAGCTCATCTGGCTCTGGGTTTACCTGAATGGCTTCTGATGAAGGTTTTCTTGCACAAACAGGGATAAACATGTCATTCCAGGGATAAGAAAAGAACAACTAAAACAGATCTCAGTGTTCAGAATCAATTCCAAACCTTAGCACCTTCATCAGGCTCCCTGCTATCCCAAGGGAATCTGTCAGTTGTGCTTGAGATGTGTGACAAGGCTGTCAGAAATCTTACACTGGTCTCAGTCAGCTTCTGGCCAAAGAAGGACAGGTTAGTTGTCAACAACCTTAGCTGAAGGCAAGATTTCAGCCTTAGCTGAAAATTAGTGGATTGAGACTGGAGAAGAATTTGTAGATCCAAACTAGTTAATACAAAATTTAAAAATAAGCACAGCTCACAGATATTTAAAAGTGTATATTTTCATATTACTGTTAGGTTTTCTTTCCAGCAAACTCTGAAAATGGTGCATGAAGCAGCAGGTTCCTTTTTTGTTACAGCAATTCTGCTGTGTCCTTTGCTTTCTAAGCTGTAGACTCCAAGGCTATAGGTTATCTGTTTGGTCATTGTACATTGCTGGGCTATTATTCTCTACCAGACAATATTATAAGGGTACTGTACAAACAAACAGAAACAGAATTCTGAAAAAGCGAGATGACCTAAAAGCTCAGATTCAGGATGACAAGTCCTTAATACTTATATTTATCTCTTTCTAATTAAGGTTTTTTTTTGTTTTTTTTTAAGTTACTAATACACTTTCAAATATGACTACAACAAGTTAATTCTAGTTCGCACTGTATTCACAAAATGGGATACATTTAAGAAAGTTTGTTGAGAGGGATTAGACCCATGTTTTCACCTCTCTCAGCCGTGTCTCCAACTCCAGCAGGCGGTTCTTGTCAGTGTGATCTTGGTGACTCATCTTTTCCAATTGCTCTTCTAATTTTCGATTCTGGGCCTCCAACTTTCCAGCTTGTGTTTCCAAGTAGAACTTCTGTTGCCTGAGCTCTGAAATCATCTCCTCTTGGGCTTTCCTGATAGGAGAAATGCACAAGTGACAAACCTGAAATGCCCTTAACATATGTCCTTCCACTGGGGTGAAGCAAGGAAGAACACAAGTTTCTTGTTAAGAGAACAGTTAAGTTTATTGCTAAAATTCTACATTCCCAGCTAAAAATAAAAAATACTAGTGTACTCAACAGCATGTGCCCAGAGCACTAAAAATCCATATTTGCCAGTTGCACAGACAAATGAATCTTGCAGAGGATAATCTATAATGCTATTTAAGATACAATTCATTCTTCTCATTTCATCAGTTCCTTGTCACATGTTTTTCTATAGGGGAAAAGTAAATTCCAGGAGTTGCTTTCTCACAGTATATTTACATGAGATAAGAGGAATCCCATGCTTTAGGACTGGGGGTAGTGTGTTCAGGGTAGTTTTGCTGGGGGCTTTTTTTCACAAGTTGTAATGGACATAGAACTTGAACTACACTGAAGTGAAGATTTGCTGCCCCTGATCAAAGCCTTAATCCACAAACTGAACAAAAACAATTACTTGTTCTCATAAGAATTTTGAGAGCTGGCAATTATTAATTATTACCATTTGAAATGGACACCCTCAAAAAAAAAAAAAAAAAAGGGGTCTTTCTGCATTATTTGCAGTTCCTGGAATTGTGTTATCATGCACTGGAAAATTCAGCCTCCTAGAGTGCTTTCTACTTAGAAGCCTCACAAACCTCTACATATATTAATGAATTAATATTTTAAGGAGTTCACTGTGAGATAAGCTGTTATTAATCCTATCCCAGAGAAATTATGTGGGTTGCCCAAGATCAAATAGGACGACTTAACAAAACTAAAAATAGAATTTAAGTCTTCTGACTCACATTTCTGTGCATTGCAAACAAAACCACCCTTTCACCTTCTCTGTTTTTTTAATTTACCTCTACAGATTATTGTCAGCCAGAACTGCCAAATGGTGTTATTTCATTTCCTGCTGTTTACTGGGCTATCTTCTCAGGAACCTGATAATCATTGGTTTCCTCACATACTGCTGGAACAAAAGCTTGCAGAGCTCCCCTCTTCTCTGAAGAGTTTAATCACTAGCTCTCCTCTTGATGCATGCTCAGATTAGCTGCAGCTTTTGTGGGTTCAAAATGCAGTCCAACAACAATTTATACATTTTCAACAGCCCAATTCACAAAATAAGCACAAATTCATTAACTATCTGCATGCATAATTAAGCAATTTTCTCTCAAAATGTTGCTAATTCTGTACTATCTCCTACCAATCCTGCAAAGTTCATCATTTGACAATATGTCTGTCAATAATCTATTTTAAATTGTGTGTTAAAGTATTGCTATATGTTTTTCTTGTTTTCTGTGGCTCTCCAGTCAAGGATATGGCTCCCAGAGGATGCTCTAAGTTCTTACACTCAGCTCAGCACCCATGACTGAGGCACTCAGTCTTTCATACACTTCCCAGTTCCACCTTAAGACATTTCTGTTTTATTTCAGACTGAAGGTAAGTTATGGCTTTTGCTGCCTCAACAAACTCCCTGGGTGATTAACTGGAGGTCATCTGGAGCATTAAACAACACAATTAAATTCTTCAGTTATTTCTGTGAACATTTTTAGCTGCTCAGGCTAAAATAACTTGCAAGGTATTTGAAATGCAATGAAAATTGGAGCCATTACATATCTGGAGACATAATGACCATAGAAAAGGGGTGAAACCAAAAGCAAGTCTTTGCCAAAACTTGTCCTTGTCTGATTCTATTCAATATTAGAGGTGAATCTATCCAAGTGCTTCACACAAAGGCACTGCCTGATGTTGGATCAGGCAGCTGATGGACATTGAAAGCTTTGTGCAAACGAAGCTGGTGAATCTCTGAACTCACTAAGGGCAAATTCTGTTTTAGCCCTGCCCTGCAGGATGTATCAAACAATCCATGCCTATTCCTACACTTGAAGTAGAACACCTCTAAGTCATTGATGAAGGAAAAACATCATTGTAAGGATAAGGAATCTCAGCTAAAGTCCACAGAAAAATAAATTTCGGGCAGACAAAAGGATCTGAAACAGAACAACTCAAAAACATGCAGAGAAATTCTTGGCTTAAAAATCTAGTGTTCCTCCTTGTCTTCTCATCCATCAATGTTTGTGAGTGAAGGGTGTTTAATGTTTTCAATTTCAAAACCATGTGTCAGGGGAACTGAGTAAACTATAAATCTATTAGCACTGTTTATGTTTAAAGAAAGAATATGTGCTTCTCCAGGGGTATTTTAGACATAAAATTATTAGTATTCATTTAACATATTTGGCAAACCTACACAAATCACCTGCCTTAGGAAATGCTCCAAAGTAAACACTGTAATACAAACCAATTTTCCCAGTCATGTTTGAGAAAACACAAAATACACAGCGAGCCCCAACTATTTGAAGAACAAAGCATATTTTTGAAAGGCTATCACTGAAAAACAAGCAGGGAGCACAGCAGGCCTGCAAAAAAGAGCCACTTTTACACGGTGAATCAGAGAATCAATTCAATTGGAAAAGCCTTTAAGGTCATCTTTCTGAGACCTGTTCTGCAGTGACAGCAGCTGCCACACTTACATGTTCCTCTGGGTAAAGAGGCTGCTATTTGCTGCCAGCTTGTTGGCCTCAGACAATTCCACAATTCTCTGCTCCAGTGACCTGATCTTCGAATCCATTGCATTGATCATCTGAAACACGGCAATGAGCATTTGAGACTGAGCAACGCGAGCAGTTACTAAAATAAAGTTTATTAAAAAGTCTGAACTTTTTCCAAAAACAAAAAGAGCCAAAAGAAAACTGATCAAATGGCCAAAATGAACAACAGATGCAATTACTGGAGCTATTTGCAGCAGCTATTTTGTACTGCTTTAATGTTAGGAAAAAGCAACCATTATCAAGGCACAAAACGAGGGGTACCCAGCAAGCTGCATGGCTTTTTTAAGGAAATATTCTTGGAGATACTCTGAATTTAAGAAAAACATGTCTTTTAAAATTTGTATTAATCAATTAATTTCCTTCAAAGCAGCTCAGTAGCACTAGAGGACCTCAAACAAGATTATCTTGCTTGAAATCAGCCTTAGAAAGCTACTCCTCAAACAGCTTTGATTTCCAGATCAACACCACATACCGCCTTTTGTTCAGCCAGGACTTTGCATTTCTCACGTGCTTCTTCTTCATGTCTTCTGAGCATATTCTCAAGTGCTTCCTTATCTGCAAGATCCTTCTTCATCTGATTTTCCAACACCTAAATGAAGACATTTCTTTTGTCTAAATTATATCTGTTTCACTGGGTAAAGGGCAAGCAGAAAGAAAATCATCAATATAGATTTATTTTTTTGTAAGCAATTGGTTATATCTCAAGCAAAATTAAATCCATGATGTAATTGCATGAAATCCATGGAAGAGCAAACTCCAAAAAGAGCACTCTCAGTTATCTCTGAAGACTGAATTTAACAATAAGATTTTATAGAGATATGGAGATACTGTAGATTTTTTAATTATTATTTTAAGTCATATAAACTGTGTTCAATAACTGTTCCAACCTAATACAACAGAAAACAGAAAAGACTCTCTACCCCAAAATGTACAGCAGAAGAAATAGGAAAGTGCCCATCCTTTGGCTGCCCTACCAACATGGCTCACAAGTAATTTTTGAGTTCCACAGGTATGGATGAGAAGGCAACTGAAATCACATGAATTCTTCCAGTCAGTGACAAAAATCTAACAGCAAAGTAAAAAACTTCTTTTTGTGGCATAAATAGCTGCCATTGGGAACAGGACTAAAGTAATGAATTGCTACATTTTTCTAGAAATGCATGTCATGTATGTATGACCAGAGTTCAGTTTTTAAACTGAAGGTCTCTTCCTTCAAAGACAAGTTTTTCAAAGGCACAAATTCTGGACAGCACAGGATACTTTTTACTTTTCCAGTTACAAAAACCCCACGTCCTGTTTTATCCCTTTGAACCTCTTTCACCCAGCTTCCTGATTTCTCCTATTAAACCCTACATCATAGGGGCCCATAATACACCAGTTTTCTTCTTATTTTTTTTCCAATGCCTATCCTCTTTCCCAGTTTTAATAACACCAGTTCTTTCTCAACATCTGCATCTGCTTTCTATCACTCTCCTCTCATTACTGATAACCACATGCTCTGATCTGACAGCAAATCTTCTTACTTCTCTTTTTTCCTTCATATTTCTCCCACAGAAATTTATTCTCTCCTCTTAAGTACTACATCTCTCACATTTAAGCAAAAATGTAGAATTAAAGTACTAGATAAATGTACAAGATAAAGACTGTTTCTACTGAGAATAATTTGTTCTTAGCAAAGATTCTTACAAAATGCATTTACTGGCTGTCATACTGCAAGTTCTTTAGAAAAATCCTTAGCCAGTGCACATACTCCTATTTGCCAGCTTGTTTTTCCTAATTTTAGATGGTGTCTATTTCTAACTGTTTGTTAATGCTACCCTGGAAAAGACAAAAACAAAGTGGGTGGATTCTGTGGCTTTTTGGCAGATGTTCCAGCTCCAAGATGGAAGTTCAGAAATGGTTTACTATTTGCTGCATTTAAAACTTGCAGGTAGGCTGAGTGAACACCCATAGAAAATCAGTGGGAACTGAAAGCTTCTTCAGGGTGTGAGATTCAACAGCATTAACTAAGTATTATTTAGTCAACAAAAGTCAAATTACAACCAATAAATGCCTTCCTGTAGTTCTGGCATCAAATACTACCTCTCCTAATCCAGTGCCACAGATAAGGTACAATGGCAGAAAAAACAGGAGAAAGCTGATTTCGATTCCACTAAGCTCCCTCAACATTGCACCAATGGTAACAAGAAGGCAACTCACAAGACAAAGCAATCAGAACCTAAAGGCAACTGTTTCTCCCTGAACTCATTCTACCCACAAAAGCTTGTAGGAAGATGATAAGATATTTTTACTTTGAGTTTCTCCTCATAGAATTGCTCCTTCTGTTTCAGCTGCAACTCCAGATGTTGTGCTGCGATCTGAGCCTCACGGTGCTTTTCCTCCAGCTCCTAAAAGCAGCAAAAATTCACATTCAGACACAAGGAAATGGTAGGTGCTGTGAGTACATGTTAGACAGGTACCAAACATTCATTCTCTTTTTTAAGGCTTCACTCTATAAAAATCCCAAGTCCAGGGCTGTCATGGTTTAAAAAAAAAAAAAAAGCATTATGAGACCTGAACATTATCAACCTTAAGTTTGCATATTGCTGCTGACCCATCTACTGCAGAGTGGGAACACTGCTAAGGACAAAGATTTCTACTTCCATGGTAAGAATCTCCATCTTCCAGTAAAATATACCCAAAGATAGGCCAAGGACATTTGGTGAAAACACAGTTATAAACATTTTATAGCTGCAGTGGCATCACAGGAAGTTCAGATCTATTTTTATCAAGGTCTCTCACTTGTTTTCTTACAGCAGACCTCAATAACGGGGTACTGCTGTCTGTGCTTTTCATTTTGCATTCAGAGGGGGAATAGCATTTACTTTGCTGTATTCCTTGGACAAATGTTGTCAGAAATGCTATTTATAAATGGCTTCAAAAATGAAAAGTACAGGATGCAATATATGTGGTGGAACATATCAGAATCTTTCTAGCCTCTTTATTTCATATCAGATAGTTTCAGCCATGCACAGTAAGGACTTAAATAATTTGTATTTCAGAAATTAGCTGTTTCTGCAGTTTGACTATATTATTTGGGGCCTATCCTGTAATCACCTTTCAACAGGACACCTCTCAAGAGCCAAGCATACAATGTTATGTTCATTTATTGTAATATTTGCCATTCCCAGAATTTCCTTAGAACAGGAGCAGGTCCAGGCTTGTCATTCACTACCATTGGGCTGACTCTTGCATAGACAAGTTCAGGTACTGAGGTGCATCTGGATCTCCTGTTTGCCCTCATTACTGCACAGCACAGGAAAATTTCCTGATATTTGTGTGTGTTTTAGTACTTTTCATAGTATTTGATATGCTTTTTCCTGATCCTCCTCATCTTGAAGACATTTCCCCATCTTCCTCATCTTGAAGGCTTTTTTTGCTCCAGTAATTGCATAGGCCTCCTTTTCCAGAAGTGAGAAGCAAAGAGGAGGTTCACCAAAAGTAGGTCATCGACAGTGCCTAGTCCCTGACACTCCTGCATGGAATGGAGATTGCTGCTTTTTGCAATTGAAATATGTCTCCCAGCAACAAGAGGGACAACTCACCTCCCCCAGAAACCCACACGTTTCAGGTCCTGGCAGAGAATCAGACAACCAGATCAGCAGCAGCTTCAAAGCTCCCAGCATCAGACTGCTCATATTGTAGCAGAAGCTTCACCAGTTCCTGCAGTGGCACTTAACAGCCAGTGTGGGCTTAAAAAGGTAATCTCTTACCATTCCTGCTCTCACTCAGTATTCTCTATGTAGCACTGACTTTGTTATTGGCATCACAGCAATTTCAGGCAGGAAGAAGTATCTTCTCTAACTTGTTCCTTACTTCTTCATCAGTTCCTTACAGATGGATGAGCAGGTACTTCTCAGGCACTGCCACATGAGTGAACATTCAAACCATATGCCCTTATACAACAATTTCCACCTTATTCTAAGCAAATCTGTATCTTCAACTCCCTTCTTACTTCTCTATACCAGGAAAAGTCAAAAATGTTTGATGAGACAACTTGAGGGAAGGTACAGGGTAGGAGTGGGGAAAAAAGAATACCAGTACCCTGTGCTACCAGATCAGTTGCAAGGGACTAGGAAAGACTCTGTAGGATTATGTCTTCAATGCCTGTTTGACTTATAAAATATAAAATACTTTTGTACCTCTTCAACATTCTGTCAGGACTCCATGGAAACTATCTATAAGAAGAGCTAAACATATCCCATGGTGTAAAACAATTAGTCGATATTTCTGCCTTCCCTTCCACTTTCTCCTCCACAGAGAACATAATCAAAACCAATGAACAATCCCCAAATATACACAAGAGGCTTATGAAACAATTCAAAGTTTTACACTATTTCTAAACATAAAGTTGGCTCTGTGCCCAGCACAACCATAGTCTCCCACTTACCATGCACTCCTGCTATCAAAACAATTTGAAAGAAGCAGCACTACTAAAGAACCGATTCTACCTTTTCTTGACAGTGCTCAGCATTCTGATGCTAAAGTCTGTACACCCAGAACAAGCCTGGGTCATCTGTTGATTCCAAATATCTTTATTTTCACATCTCCATTTGGCCTTCCTTAGGTGTGTCTCAGCTTGGGATTACTACCAGTAAAATGTAAACCTTTTCTTCCTCATATTGGCAACACACAGAGAATATTCATGAGGAAGGCAAAGTAAATTTAATTACTCCAGTATTAAATTATGTTTTCTGTCCCAGGAAAGCAAAGTTATTAGAAACACCCTCTGCTTGATCCACCAGAGACTGACATACTAACTTGGCTTAATAGTTTTAACCAGGAGAAAAACAAGAAATTGCCAACAGAGAAGTTACGTGGGTGCAAATGGTTTCCTAACAAATATCTTTGGAGATGAACAGTTTGGATGACTAATTTCTCTCTGCTTCAAAATGTAAGCATTTCTAATAGATCTGACCTCTAAATTCCTCTGCTATTTACTTTAAAAGAGATGTTTTTGTTACTGCAGTAACTTGCTATCAGAATGTTTTACCTCTGACACAATCACTAGGTAAATAATTTAAATATTACTATGTTGACTGAAAGGTTTTCCCACTGAGATGACTCCAGTTTTGAAGCACTATCAAGACTAAAAGCACAGGAATGAGTTTGTACCTAGAGGTGCAAATAGTATTTGAATGCTTAAGCTTTCTCCAGTATGACTGGTACAGGAAAAAAAAACCTTTATTCAGTAATTTCCACCTTATTCCATGCAATTCTGCATCTTCTGATTCTTCCCTACCTTTTCTTACAAACTCTTACCCTCTAAGTTTCATTTTCACCTCTGCTCACCAGAATTTTTTCTGCCATCTGTTGAATCTGTTGAGATTTAGTTTGAATATCTTCTTTTAGGCGGTTTTCTCTACGTTCCACAGTCTCTAATCTCTTCACTTGATTCTCCAGGGAATGGCGCCGTTCCTGCAGAGCAATTATGAGCTGCTGTTTAGGCCACCCAACTCTGCATTAGCACAAAGCAAGGAGTAGTTTCTAGAGAAAACAGGCTGAAGCAGTCAATATACGGCTGGCTTTCATATTTTGAATCCTTATCACACCCCAAAATCCCCCAGGCTAACCACACATCCTTATCGACTCATCACTGAAAATAAAACCCCTCCGTTTTCCTCAAAGAAATATGTTTTTTAATTAAAAATGGATTAATGTCTAACAAGTCTTTCCCCGGAAGAATTACTACAGGAATACACGCTGTTCAGAGCCACCCAGGTGAGGGTTCCTAAACTAAGACATATCCCAATAACTAAATTGCTCCAGACAGACACTTTGCACTCACCTCTGCTTCAAGCAATTTTTTCTTCATGCTTTCATTAGAATCTTCCCTGTTCTGAAGTTTCTCCAACTCCTTCTCAGCTCTCTCCTTTGCCTGACGGATATTCTGCAGGAGCTCAGTTGCCTCTGAACTGGCTTTCACAGCCTGAAGGTCAAGAGAGAAGAAAAAAAGGTATTATATGAAAAGCACACACAAAAATTTGGTGTGTGAAAGGTTCAGAACTTCAAGATGGTCAACATTCTCAATAAAACCACTACAGAACTTTGGTTTAACAGTTTAAATTAACATGTGCAGGAGTCCAAATTTTAACTTCTGCTACATAATTTTGACTACTATTTCACAAAAAAAATTAAAATCTAGGATATACAAATCTGTCTTGCTACACTGCAAGTTACTTCACTCTACATCCTGAAAGTTAAGTCTATCCCCAAATTCAGCCCAAGGTCTTTAAAAGAACTCACAAAATACTCTTACTAAAGGAAAAGGAGAATAACCTGTTGGCCTACAGAAAATTCCTTGGCATTAATGCAGGTAGAAAAGGAGACAGGATTAAAACATGATTGTTTTGAAATATTTAAGTTCTATTTCTATGTAGGTTTTGCCTCCATATTCCTGATCATTAACCCTTAAAATAGCCCTCTCTCAGCAGGTGCCAAGTTTGAAAAGCTCAATCAGGGGATTATTATGACAACCCCTTTCTTTCCTGCTGAAGGATTCCAATAAGAGAAGTTCCCTGACTGTTCTTACAGTGACACTTCAAGTGCCAGACTGACCATGACAGCAAATCTTAGATATTCTACCCTACTTTCAGCAGACATTGATAAGGTGTTTTAATTCTCTTGTGAATCTTTATTATTCAACATTTTTACTGTGAAGAACCTGTGAAGAACTGAACTGTGAAATGATTAAAGCAGATAATACTGGGAGACTAAAGCAAGTTCATGTGTTTTACTAGTGAGCTAAAACCAGCTGAACCCTTCTTTGGAAGCAAGGGAGCAGTGCAGTGTCCAGAGCATACCCAAACAGGCCTTTAAATGAGAATTTCTTTACACTACTCCAGTTCTGACTCAGCTTCATTTGCAAAAATAAACACTGTTGACATGTCTCAAGAGCCAAAAGCATATTGAGAGCACCAGTGATTTCAGATACCATTTCCCACCCCCTTTTCCTTATCATCCCCCATGCTATGACTAATTCTATTTTTGAGGGTAAAACAAAGTGCATCCCTCCTCTTCATTAAGGTTTCACTGGGAAATCTTGTGAAAAACTCACTTTCACCACCCAGTCGTTACCTTTGTCAGCTTTTCCTGAAGCTCCTGGATTTTGGCCTGCTGCTCCGTATTGATCTATAGTTAGATAAAAGATGGAGGGAAAGAGTCAAAATCAAAGAGGAGAAAACGCTCTTTGCTTATTATATCATATTTGTTTTAATTTGTTTCCCGAAAATCTTGGTTTTCCCCTGTAATTCCAACACACCAAAACACTCCTTGGCAAATCCATTCCCATTTTGCTAACTTCCAGGTGATTTAGTATTTTGGTTACCAAGAAGATTGTTCAGTGTGAGAACACTCAGAATTCTTTTTGCTTTTTATTTGCTGTTCTTTCTGAGTAAAGAAAACCCTGCTGTATCCCCAAGCTGACTCCAAGCTCGGATGACACATCCAAGGCTGTCTTTGCCTGGCTTCTCAACACAATCCGTTAAGAACAGGTTATCCAGAGACAGCTTTATATCAAATCATAGAGAACAGTGAATCACACCAAGATGTCTTAAAACATAAAATGAAAGGGGGTGGGGGCTGTGAAGCCATGCATGTCACTGACTAGCCAGACATTCTTGGTTTCCGTGCGTAAAATGAAAGAGCCAGGAAGCAAAATCTAGGACACTGAAGTAACATACCTTTTCCAGTTTGGTATACAACTCTCCTGCCTCATTTTTCCCTTGATCTTTAACCTGTAACTTAAATATAAAGTACATGAAAATCTCAGGAAAAGCTAGACTTCTATCCAGTCATCACCTCATGCAATTTAAACATCAGCAGTTACACAAAGTATAAATCACATCATGAAAAACATGTTGTGCTAGTTGTACCGACCACGCTTATCTTTGAAGGGCACACCCACAACTTGTGTGTGCATGTGTCAAACAGCACTAGATATTCCAGCAAGCCTCAGCCCCCTCTCCCATGAAGCCTAAACTACCTTTTGCAGCTTGTTGTGGCATTCGGCAGCTTTACGTTTGAATTCCTCAGCTGCCAGGCGGGACTCCCTCAACTCTGACTCGTAGAGATCGCTGCGCCTGCGAGCCGAGATCAGATCCTCTTCCAGCTGATTCATCATCAGCCTCATTTCTTCTACTTGAGCTTGGTATTCCTGTAGTTGGGGTGGAAGGGAAGGAGAAGGGATCACAGTTTAGATGCAACAGGGGAAATGCTTGGAGCAGCAGATTCCAGAATACTGACTGCAGGCAAGAGATGCATTTAAGAGCATGTAGAAGAAAAGTAAAGTACAAAGTAAAACAGTAAAAACTAACTAAAATAAAATCCATGGTGTTCTGGTTTGAGTCTTGCCACTTTCCACTCAATACCTCAAAGTCAAAACATCGACTTTTTGAGAGTGCAGGAACACATACATACATCTACATACAAATGATAAAAATTACTTACATTTCTAATCTCTGAAACAGAAATGTGCCTTTGAGTTGATGTCTCTACTAAATGCCCAGATGCTCCCTCAAGATCTATTTTCTCAGGCTGATAACATGACAGTTATCACAGATCTGCACAGCTTGGGTAAAAGGAAAGAAGGAGAAGCAGAGGGGTAGCACACTGTGGCTTGCAGCCATCAGCTACTTTCTCCTGACAGAGTTAAAAAGGATCATACTGCTCAGTATGGGAGACAACCTAAAATCAAATATTATCTTAGAAAAACTATCTAAAACTCACATTGCTCATAGAAGGTATTTGCCTAAACAGGCAGAAATAAAGATTCCCCATGTAGGAGACTATAAGGGCATTTGGATGGGGAAGGTGAGAGAAGATAAGAACATTTGAACTGACTATCTCAATGAGACTGAGAACTCAAACTGAAACTAGCTTGAGAGATTGCTTCACATATCTTCACTGGAAGAAAATAATTTAATTATGTTTAGCATTTACTAAGTCCTGCAAATATGCATTTTATAAAAAAAAAAAAAATACACCAAAAAGCCCTCTCCAAAATCAAAGTATTTTTTACAAAGCTGAGAACAAGTAGAAAACATGCACATCAAGAGTTTGGAACAAAGATTGTGAAGGACTGACAGTGGGGGAGTCTATCTTTCTTTCCATTTTATTATCTTACACTATGCCTGACTACCCCCATATTCAGAAGAGTAACTGTCTCGTGACAGAATCAGGTTTGTCATCGCTCCCTCCAGACAGGCAGCTGCCTTCAGCTCAATGAGGGACTGCATGAGCACTGACCCTCATGCCAGCCCCTCATTCTCCAGCCTGGAGAGCTTATGCAGCTATTGAAAGAAGCCAGGCCTTTAGCAGATTGCTTTACTGTCCCTTACAGGGAGCAAAGAATAGCTCTTTGGCTTGTAATCCCAAAATTGGTTCTCCACTTTGTATGCCAGGCAGGGACCTACTCTTTCCAGTTCATCTCCTATGGAAGGGTGATCTTTATTTTCTTGCTGGAAAGAATCAGAATTTGTTTCTAATAACTATGCATGTATTAACTCAAATATTCTTTACATACAAATACACTTCTGAACAAAAAAGGCAGAACAGTTTGAAGGAATAAATGTTCTGCAGGGAAATCATGATTTGTTTAGACTTCCTAAAATACTGGGATTTTATATCAGCAAACACTTGACCAAAGAATTACATGTATGACAATAGTTGCCACTGTGACAATGAGCGTTTGGGAAGGGAGGAGAATGGGGAGGGAAAGAAGAAGAAAAAGAGGAGATAATTAGTAATATTTCAGGTTTTCTTGTTTCATCACATTTGCAAGACTGTCTTTGAGTAAGACCCAAGATCAGGTCAGAGGAACAGGCCACACCATTCAAGGCAACACAGAACAAACCTCTGGGATATGCATTAGTCAGTGTTTTAAAATACCATAAGGTATTTAAGTGCAGATTACTAGACAAGTTCAGGGCATGTACCTGAAGCAAATCACATCAGGGAGCTACAAAGAAATGAGTGGGACTTTCAGAAAAGTACAGATTCTGATTTGTTGCAAGTTTCCCTGTTAGTACAGTTCTTCATCAAATAACAACCAGAGCACAGGCTTAGTTAAAACAAAAAAACAAAACAAAACAAAACAAAAACCAAACACACATCCCAAGCAAACAAAAAACCCCACAAACCCACCATGCTCTTCTATCCAAGTACCTGAGGTTAAGTTGAACCTACAGCCTCACCCTGAAAATATCAAATGCCTAATTATTGGGTTTTGAAGATTCTGATTTGCTGTTGATTTGACTCATTCTCTCTCAAGCCTCAGGTTTCCAACAGCAAAGCTTGAAGGGGCTTTTCCAGCTCCCAGTTCCCTCTAACTTAAAAATCATGGTCCAAGTCTTTAATGGCCAAGATCCACTGCTCATATGAGTCAGCACAAATCTCTCAGCATTTCTTTCAGCAAGGTTCTTGCACACGTGTTTCAGGGAGCTCAAAAGGCCACCACAGACATGAAAGTCTGCAGGATTCATTTGTTGAACTAAGCAGCCTCTTTATGTCATTGTGAATCTTCACAAGCCAAATTAAGAGATTCTGGGACAAAGCGTTTGATTAAAAATTACTTGCATTATGTTTCCTCTGTTACATGTGTCTGTACTGCCTAAGAATCTATGGATATTTAAAATCATCAAAAATGTTCCCCATTTCAGTATTTAAAGCAACTTTGCTAGTAAAGCACCAGAAGAGAGAGCAGGGAGCTTTAGATCCCTTGTATTACATAAAACAACCACCCAGAAGAATGCTGGGGAAGTCTATGGAGGCCAGCTACATCCAGAGGGTTGGGTTTGCATTTCATTACTTTTTACATAAGAGCTACTCATGTCTGGAGAATTATTACCAAGGTTTCTGGGCTTCCTTGTCTCAGAGACTTTGAAATGAGTCAGTTAGTGTTTGTAAAGTGCTTTGAAGATGAAAACCAACAGATAATTACAAAGAATTGTTTGAGTGCTATAGCAAATTTGAATTTCTTTTTCTCAATGCAGCATGTTGCTGTTAATTCATAAAACTGAATGGGTTCTTCCTTGCAATGGCCAAATTTGTCACAATGTTTTCATTTAATTTTGACATTTTTTTCTTATGAGCAACTATGTGAATTAATAAATTTTCAACATTCTTTGGGTGGAAAATAAAATTATTAATTTCTACTTCACAAATAGATCAAATCATGAAAAGAGCAGTTAGGCAACATACGTTCTATTTTGAAATACTATTAAGCATTTTAAATGGTAAGATAAAGAAGAAAAATTAAAATAATAAAACAACAGAAAATTCAGATAGCTCAGTTCTCTCCCAGGTGAAGATTCATTAACTTGTGAAATTTCCATACCTTAACCATTTAAAATGGATAGGTCATTTCTAGTGCAGTATGTTACTAAAGCATTGTGACTTTCTCTTGAACTGATTGTATAGACAAAGTACTTTCAGGACTAGGAACAGAAAATGTGAAGTTTGGAGATTGTGATTACTTGCAAAATACACAAGTGGAATTTTGTTGCTTCCTGTATTGTTTGGGAACCCCTGTGAAATCACACAGCTTGGGAGTTATCACAGCCTATCAACACCGAGCGTAATCCTGGCAGCAGAGCTAGAATATGCCAAGAATGCCTATTTGTGGGCAGCCACTCTGCTCCCCAAAGAAGCAGGAATACCTGTTCTTTGATCTCTTGCAGTTTTCGGCTTTGCTCTCTGATATCATGAAGTAGCTGTAGTGCCTTATCATCTTCCTGAGACACCTCCATCCGTGCCTGCTCCAGGCTTCGCTTTAAGCTCTGCAGAAAGCAAAATGTTCAATACATAGGCTTTGGTTTCTCAAATGGTTGTATAATGAAGATCTTTAGTTACACAAATGCCTCCTTGACTGCAGTGAGGCATCAAAAAATGGAGGCACCAATGATGGAACTCTAACGAAATTCATGGCCAGTGCTGCCCCTATCTGAACAGAAGCAGCCCATTTTACAAACACTGTTTACTCAGCTTAAATCTTAGTTCAAATCTCCACTCCCTTACATCAGGTTTAGAGACAGAAACCAAACACAGACCACAAAAGGCATCCATTATTGACAGCATTTATCTATATTTTATCCAGCACTATTAATTCACAACCTAGATACAATCCTTCAACTCCATGTTACTTACATTTTTCTTGCTGCTGGTAAGTGAGTCAAACGCTTTAATCATTGTTAAATTTCTATTAGAAACAGAAGAGCTGAGTCTGTAGCTCACTATGTACCTTACCTCCAAATTTGGAGTCACCAGTGGAGTGGTACTCCTATTAACTGTCATTCATCAACAGAAAGATACAAACTGAATTTTATTTCTTTACCCAGTAGCATTAAGTAGAGGAAAATCACTTGGCCCCATTTTAAGATGTCCTTCCCAACAAACCAAGACATCAGAAATGGTTTTCAATTCTCTGGAACAGAGTATTAGCTGCATTTTTGTTCTTGGTACAAGAGAGGAAACATAATTGTGCATCTAACTGAAAATACAGAGACTATCAAATAGAATGAAAATATCCTCACTGGAATACTGCCAGTGACAACTGGGCAGACATTCCAGCTCTCATGAAAAATGAACTTTGAAGAGATGGTTTTACAGCCTCATTTTTATATTCTACCTGAAAAATAGCACCTGTCCTCCCTGACACTGTGCTGGGGAACGGGATCGGTCTGAACTCAGGACACCACAGATGGAGACAACACCACTGCCTCCTAATCCTATTTGTTCTTGAAGATTTCTGTCTAGGCACTGATTAGGCCCCATCCTCTTCCAGCTAAGAAACCTTCAAGAAGCACAACCCAGGCATGTTCTAGCACAGCCAGTAAGACAAACATCACAAAGAGTTTCAGCAAGACCAGGACAGTAGTCACTCCTGCATGATCTAAGCACATGACCATGAAACAACATCTGAATAAAACTACCAATCAAGCTTTTGCAAACACTTCAGGGCTCCGTGTTCAACAGATATCCTCTGACATAGCATTTTCTCTCCATCAAATACCCCACTGAAAGCATGATGGAAGAGAAAGACAAAGACCACCAGATTTCAGGCCTTCAGAGCTGAAAGGACTGGTGTAAGGGCTCACACTGCATTCTGTGATATAGGTGGCCAGGTCCTGCTCCAGGAGGGATCGCTGGGTCTCAGAGGCTTTCAGTTCCACCTCCTTTTGGCTAAGTACAGCCTCCACCTCTGACACTCTCCGGTGCAACCGCGTCATTTCCTGCTCCATCTGCAATAAATATCAAGAGGTTATAAAGGGGGGGCTTCAAAAGCTTTGTTAACTGCTACTTTCAGAGCTCTCTTTGTAAGGAATTTGTCTCCAAGAGACTTCTAGCTATGTTTCTCCAAATGGTGTTTAAATTCCGATACCATTGTCTCTGCTCCAGGAATGCACAGTTCTTCTTAAGGACAAAGTAGTAAGTCTAAGTCACCCCATTCATTCAAGCTGCTTGTTCATATTCAGTCATTCTTCGAACCCCAGTTAGCAAAGAAGACACAATCATTTTTCACCTGACTTGCAGAGATGGGTCACTTTAACCTTATCCCAAATCCATGCTGGACCAGAAGATGGTTTCCCCCCATCTCCTTGTCAGGAGCAAATGGTCAAATCCAGAACCGAGCAAGGAAAAAATAATGGAACTCTCATAAAAGTCTCAAAACAAGCAGTAAGTGTTAAAAGACTCCACCAGGTTCCCTTTATTGGAGCACAGCAACTGTTAAAAGACGTTCACCATAAGCAGTGACGTGACAACAGTTATATAAGCAGGAGCTGATGAGTGAGGAAGAGCCCTCAGAACAGTACTGCTGTAATGTGTGTCTGATGAAGAGGCAGGGCCTGCAGGAAGAAGCAGTCGTCTGTGGCACGCTGAGAAAAGCACTGTTTAAAATCCAGAGCCGCTTCTTGTTAAGTTAAAAGTATCTACAGCAACAGCATGGCCTAAATTCATCTCCCTTTGTACTGGACAGGAAGCCACCTCTCTGAAGGAAAAGCACTTTGCCCACCACGAGTCTGGATGATCAGCAGCATCTGACAGATCCCTGGACATACAGTGGTTGCAGATTCCTGGAGCAATGGGTGTGGCCAATCGCATAAATAAATACCTTGTGACACTTGTCCTGGGCGTCTTGGAGTTCTTTGCTCTTGAGAAGAAGTGTCTTTTCCATGGAGCTGACCTTGGCTGGGGAATCCACACTTGAAAAAACAGATCTAAAAGAGCAAAGCCAAACAGCACGTGAATATGGGCAAAAGGTACAGAAATCTGATTTATGCAGCCTCTGTAAAGTCATTGGGTACTTACTTATTCCAGGATAAAAGAAATGTGATTGTGCAGCAATCACAGCCTAACAGCCATCATTGCAGATCAAACGTACCATAAAAGCTAATGACAGTACATCATTATTAAATAAACCACGTGTACTTCTAGTTACAATATTAATATTTTCCATCAGTGGCTATGTCAGAGTGCAAAACAGTAAATCACAGCAGCAGTTTTGCATGATTTGTAGGGAATTGTAGGTGCAACAAAAACAGAGCATAAAGTCAACGCAACCATTTGGAAAGAGAACAAATTTTCAGAGAAATGCTTTTTATTTGGTACTTTATTTTTAAACAGGTTTTTAAATTACCATTGAAGTATAAAAGCCCTACAAACTTCAACATGTCATAATCTGCACCACAGGAAGAAGAATTTAATATCCTTAGTTACATTCTGTGAATCAAAATTGAAACTTCCCTAACCCAATTCATATGATCCCTACAAACCCAATCAATATCAATATGATTAGTCACACTGCAGAACTTCAGAGTTCCACTTAGAAGTAATTTTTTTTTTTTTCCCTGAGATACAACTGTACTGTTCAAAACAATTTGACTCCAGAAACCTGGGGAAAATATTTACTTGTTCTTAAGCTTTCTGTCTAATTGGGACTCAGCATTTAAGAAGTTTACCGTTCACATTAGTTTAAATTTATTTTAGAAAAGGATAGGAAGCCACCTGATGTTTAGGAGCATATTTTTAGTGCTTTGCACAGTCTTAAATATGCAACCTGCAACCAAAAAATTAAGTACACACATCAAAACACAATTTTAAAAATCACCTTCTCCCTCGCATAAAATGATTCAGACTAGAGGCTCGAGCAGTTAATGATGGAAGCAGTGTTAACTGATAGATGAAAACGCAGCAGTACAATGAAGGTGCTAATAAAAGATCACACAGGCTGCCCACACGTTGCTTTCTGCTTCTCCTGGCCACAGTTTGGTGTGCAGCCAGTTATCCCCACGGAGAGAAAGGAGCTTTGAGCAGCTCTCTGCATAGAGCCAGACACCCACACACAGCAGCACAGGCTCCTCTCAACACCAAGAAAAGTTTCATTCCATCACCACCATTTTCTGAGAAAAATCTACTCCTTAATCCAACTGGATATGCAGCAGAGGCACAGAAAGATATACATGGATTTTTACAAAAATGCAGCAACATTTCTGTATCAAACAGATCTTCAGCACCACCACCTTGAGCAGTGATTAGGAAACACAGTTTTAATATCAGCAAACAAGCACAGCAAAATCCACCAATGCTGCCTTGAAAGGTCAGATATTAATATATTTCTTCAGAAAACTGATATGGAAAAACTTAGAAGAAAGAAGCCTGCATGTCAATGATAGAGATATGATCAGGACTTACAAAAAAAAAACAAACTTAAAATTAATACTTTTATACAGCATTCCTTTAGCCCTGGTCCAATCAATCTGATCCATCAAATTACCATATTTAAAAATCAATTTATAAAGCGTGTCTATACTCCTACAGAGAAAAAGCAACCATCTGAGAAAGATGCATATTAAATCCCATAACAGCTGGGTGTACAAACAAGGCTAAAAATGAATAGTTGAGAAAAGCAGTCTAAAAATACAAATTAAAGCTCACATTAACTAAAAAAGACACTAAGGAATCTGCTTTCAAATGTTAATCAAATATATGTAAATAGCTGCAAATATGTACTGAGACAAATCTGAAAATCTTCTTATAATAAAAATTTAGTTTTACAGGTCTGAACTGTATTGGCTAAAGCAGTCTTTTTCTTTAAATTATAGTTTCAATCTTAACCATCACTTTTTTATTTCCGTTCTTTTCAGATCTGAGGTATTACCTAAGAAAACTCTAGCCAGTTCTCACAGAGCTGGTTTTATTTGTGTCTTCTATTCCACCTCCCCAAAGGAGCTAATTTTATTCATCATTTTTGCTTGTTTATTTTATTTGCTATTAAAAGAATCAGAGCCTAATATTAACAGGCACTATTTTACATTTCAAAAATTTCTCATGGTGAGCCAGCTGAAAGCATCCCCAAGCACTGCAAGGCAAGCAGGAACAGAAGGGATTCAGGGAAGGAAATGAAGAGCTCTGCAAAAGGTAGGTGGTTCAGCCAGGTGGGATGGGACAGGGTACAGGAGACTGCCCAAGTTTGGATTTCATGAGGTGACTGCAGAGGGAGCTGCTCCTCAGGGTTGCTGTTGGCTTTGTAAGGGGAGAGAAGGCTGCAGACAGATAAAAGTACAATCTTTCTTCCCCATCCCTGTCCAAAGAGAGGAAAAAAATCCTTAAAAATATATGTGCTGGTGACACGATGATTCTCCTGCCATGGAAACTGTACATCTGATCCCCAAGGGAAGCTGATCTCAGCACTGGACACACAGTTTTTAGGAGACATGCTCTCCCAGTAATTCTTTCCTGTGTATAAATTGTATTAGAACAACTTCCTGAACATCCATACAACCTTCAAAGTATCAGAAAGGGGCAGACAGAGGAAGTCAAGAGAAATGGAATACTGGCTAATCTAATAAGCCTTGTCATGGTGATAGAAGCTCTCAACAGAGCATGACAAGGTGGAAAATACCCATATTTCTGGAGCACTTATATTCTTCCTCAGTCAGCATCATTGCAGAAATTAAACACACACAATCCAACATCAAAAGCCATGATGCAAAGCTATCATTCAGGCTGGGACCATCTTTGAGTATTTCATTTAATTAACTGCTACATCTGGATCAATTCTCTTAGTACAACAGAGCAGTTTCTGCTGTTTCCTCTCAAGTGTGAAAAAAAAGATTAACAAAAGGTAACCAGCTCCATCAACAAGAAAACTGCAACAAAAGATTAAAAAAATCCCAAAGCCAAGTCTAGAGTACCAAGCTGTCATAGCACTGGCTGTTCCAATTTACTCTCCAGAGAAGCAGTGCCTGCATGACTAAAAGCCAAGTTAACTTAGAGCTGACTAGTGATTTCACAGCTAGATCAGCAGCAGCCTCAACCAGCAGAACGAGCAGAAACGGTGCTGGTTGTGTAAAAGCTCCTCCAGTCCTAACGTGGCTGAGATGAAGAAGAAAAAAGCATTGGCATGGAAAAAGCTCCGAGCTGATTCTTGGTCTCCAACTTGTACCTTGTGCATCCCATCACACCTTGGAACTTCCTGTGTCCTTTTCTGCCACTGGCCTAAACCCCCAACTCACCTGTGCTTCTTCCTTCTCACAACAATTGGCACCATCTGTCCTAATCCTGGCCCCCACACAACATGCTGATAATCTCATCCCCCATCCCTCATGCTTTATTCTTTTTAGCATTATACTCATCTGTACCTTCCACCCCCTCGTAAATGCTTGCACAGGCCTAAAAAAAAAACCAACCAAAAACAAACAGTGATACCATCAATCTGTGAATAGAGCTTGCTGAAGCAAAGCATATTTTTGGTATGCTCATCCTGTGCTTCCTCTTTCATCTATCTTTGGTGAAAGAGCTTACCAGAACCCAACAAACTGTTGGAAGAAATCAGTAGAAATCCTTCTTTGTGGAGGAATGGCCCATTTTAACTGTCAGTATTTTATAATGACAGTCATGAATCCATATCAAATTTTTAAATTGAAAAAACCTCAACCGCAGTAACCCAAAACAAAGCAGAAAACAAAATCCTAGAAATCTTGAGAAACACCATTTCTTAAGACCTTACAGAGAGAAATCAGGCAGGCAAAAATGTGCATAATAAACTATTTTTTAATTAGGCATTTATTTTTTATTAGGTATTTTGATATATTTTATTTTGTATTTATTTTTATTAGGCACTAATTTTATTAGGTATTTATTTTTATTAGGCAGTTTGGTATATTTGGTTAGCCGTGGATTTATAACATATTTATCTTATGCTTCTGCTTGTCACCTGCAAAGGACAAGAACAATTTTCTTTCACCACTTGATGCATATTTTTGGCAGCTAAGGGTTTCTGTCACTTGTTCTAAGCACTGGAGATCAGCCATGGTTAGGGACAGGAAGTAAGGTGGGGCTAGCTTTTAATGGAATTAAACTCTTGGTTGCCTCTTATCTTGTCACAGTCACACGCTTGCAGCCAAACCAGCAGCCAGATTTGCAGTCAGGCTTTTCTCCCCCACATCCAGAATTCAGAGGCCATGATGAGAGAAAGAGTTAGCTGGTCCTTCTCTGCAGCCTCAGCCCAGCTCTCCTAAGCACAGATTTACTTAAACACTTGGCTGGTACAGGAACCCATGACTTAAGCAATGCCCTTGATTTCTCCTGATTGCTTCCTATGACACATTATTGCTGTGCCTTTTGCATTTTTGTTAAGTCTCACATTTGTCAGAGGGACACAAATTCTTCTCAAATCTAATGGTATGGGGCAGCAGACAGAGCACTGTAATTCAATGGACCCTTTTAACTACACATCAACCATGTAATTTCTGGCAACAGGTCTAAGTGACTTAGGCAAACCCTTCTAGCCCAAAGTCATTGGGAGAGTGGAAAAGACAACTTCTGTTGTTCCCCTTCTGTCCTTCTTTTTCAGCTGCCTTTTCTCTGAAGTATTTGAAATTCCCAGTTCAGCCATAGATTCTTACTGTCCAGTGGATAAGGGCAAAAGCATAACCCTCCTCTTCACAGTTTGACAGCTCCAGATTAAAAGTGCTGAAAGTTTCAAGGACCTTGTCACTGGCACTCTGCAGTTGCCCGGCCTTACTGTGAGCAGCACTAGAGGGTTTGTGCTGCAGACAGGAAAACAGATCTGCATCACTTAGCAACCAAAAGGTTAGACTTTCACATGAAAGATTTTTAAAATAAATTCTGGACTGGTAAACTTAATGACTTAGGACCTTGCAGAGAAGGCATCCCAAGATTCACAAGAGATAAGCCCCCTCCACGCTTTACTGTTCTTCATCTAAGAATTTGATATTCAAAGCAGTGAGGACAGAAACAGTACTGTATTTCTTCAAGTAAAACATACACCAGACAATGTTTTATATGAAGTTATCTTTGTGACCCATTTGCAGTGGTATTGAGAATAAACTAATCACTGCATTATTTAAATACATATATTTTAAAGTCTCCATAAGGGCTTTGCCATACTTAAATCACCTTCTTAGAACAAAAGGCAATTATTTACTGCCGAAAATAAGTACGTTTATGGAGATCTCACTCAAGAAAAAAAAATGTTAATATCTACTCATATTAAAATTATTTGGGAGAAAATTAAATATGACTTTCTGTTCCAGTTTAAGAAAAAACAAGCCATACCAAACAGAAATTTTACTTCAGTCGAAATTTCTGCAGAGGACATTAATCTCTATATTCGTTTGCTATACCTCTTCTCACCTATTCCCAAAATTCAAATGTAACTTCCATATGCATTTTCGGTACCAGCTCCACAGAGAAAGCACCTCAGTCCATCTGCTTCAGCTCTCTCAGCCTCCAGCACAGTTACACCACTGCTCTGAGACTTTACCCCACACTCCAGTTCTAGTCCTGGGCCCAATTACATACATGTTTTTACCACACATATATGGTCACTATCGAGGCTTTTCTGACTGCTACCTGAATGGCCACACAGACCTGGTACACGGATTGCAGTTCCCAAGGCAGACAAGATAACAGCCTAAGTTATCTCACTCCTAAATTAACACAGATTTTAACCCCAGGTATCTACAGATCTAACATTCCATCCTGCTGACAATATTAGATCATTTCACCAAAAGAACACGTTCTGGGGTTTTATATTCTCTCCCTTCCTTCCTCTTTTGCCATAAAAGCAACTCTACTGAGAAGGGGCAGCCAAAGATCCCCTTTTTATTTCTGGCATAACCATCATATAACCTTGATTCACAGTGTGAGCAAGATCAGAGATGTCAACAGTATCACCAAATTCAGTGACAAGCTTACTGCAGAGCAACTAGCACAACCAATATGAAACAAAATGAAACTCAATTAAGACAGATTGACAACGAAGTCCCTGAAGGGAGCAAACCAGCAGCAAGGAATGAGGGTTGACATGAAAACACAGTGCATTGAGTCACTAACCCAGCCAAAGCCACTGCGTTCCTGAGAGGCCTCCTGGTCCTGAGCTAAGGACTTCCCAACTTAACACCCTGCACTAATACTTTTTCAATAGCTCTGTCATCAGAAACCAACCACCCACCACATCAAATGGTTTATATCACACTACTTATATTCTTCCTTTTCTCTGACTCAGTTCTCCCAGAAATCATGTTTTCTTTCCATGGAAAACCATTTCTCTGAGGTCTTTACATCCCTCCACAGACACAGCCACTGCATATTTTATCTGAATCTCCAGTCTCTGAACACACAACACAGCAATGTCCAGTTCTCCTATTTAACTTGACCCAGCAGCACAGAGCCAGCTGCCATACAGCTCCTTCCCTTGCTCACTGACCCATCACTGCTCATTCCCAGGTTAGTGGAGATCCTTTTCTATGGATCACTGATTCAGCCTTACACATTCCCAGCACTTGGTGCCCACTCTCTGACCCAATGAAATAACACCATCCCCTTTTTCCATCTCTGAACTCCTCAGTATTCTCCTCCTTGCAGGGATCTGCAGTACCAGAAATGCAATCACCTACTGCTCTCTGCTTAACAGCAACAACTAATTCAAACTATTTGAACTACAATTTTAATAATAACTGGTTTAGAATGAATCTTTCCATCCCATTTCCTCCCCCTCATCCCAGAAATAATCAGAGAACAGTAGGACATGCACAAGACACACCAGCAACAGATAAAGCCCGAATCTGGCAGCTTCCCTACAGCAGAGTACAGTTAAAACAGCTTTTCCTCACACACACACACCATCCTCTCTGTAACAAACCTTCCCATTTTTCCAGCAGTCCTGTCCACCTGAGCAATAATTTCTACTTACTCTGATCTGAGTATCCCCAAAGCCTTGATGAATGAAAACCCCACAAACGGCAAATCTTCCCCAGAGAATCCTGCTGGGTTCAACTGGCGCGTAGAGGATAAAACCCGCGAATTCTTCTCTGGTTCATCAAAATTTGAGGTGTCATCATCAGACTTGAGAGTAGGAACGAAGGGGGGAGGAGCTGGTGGAAAAAAACGCAAGAAGAAAAGACAAAATTCAGCTACAGTTCACTCTGCAACAGTCCCACTCATTCAGTGCTTGCAATGGCACTGCAGCTCCTGCTTTTAATCTTGCTAACACAAGCAGACTGAGCTGCTGCTCTCAAAGCGTATTACAGCAACAAGAGATTAACCCCTGAGCTGCCAACATGGCTACCACTCTGCAGGCACAGCATCTCCCACACTGATCAAACTGGGATTTAGCTTGGGCATTTGGAGATTCTGGGGTTTGGGAGTTTTTTTCAGGTTAAGATGTTGGGTTTTTTAACACATAAATAATTAAATCAAAGCACCAGGCTAAGAAAATCATTATTGTAATATAGCCAGAAGCCTTGTCAGTTCTGATTCATCTGGAAAAGGAAAATGTCTCCAACCTGTCCAATTAGTGACACTACCTGAGAAAGAAGCCTGATCCTCTGCTAGTCAGCTAAGGGATATTTCTTACCCTCTAACACTAACAAGACTCTTCCCAGCATGGGTTTCTAATCAACAGCAAACCGGTCTTTCTCCTGGAAGGTTCTAATAAACTATAGCCACTAAAATCTCACTGGTCTTTGGGAAAAGAAGATTGATTTTATTTCTCTAAATGAGCATCCTTAAGATCTGGAACTCTTGCCGGGACACCACTGCAGTCTGGCTCTGATACAATCAGCTCTGAAGAGAGGTATAAATAGCAGGAATTACAATGTATTTCTTACTATAATTTCTAAATTGGTACCACTTAACTTGCTAAGCAGTTGTTTAATTTCAGATGATTTTCTCGTGCTTGCTTTGGTTTAATTAACCTAAGGAACAAAAGGACAAGTTCTTCTCGGTGATGTGCAGCACCCAAGCTACCTGCTGGCTCGGCTATGTGGGGGAAAGGAATGAAATGTTGGGATTGCAGAAGCCCTGCTGTGCAATCCCAACCTCATTAAATCACGTTTCTTAACCTTTATTTATTTATTTCATCACTCGGGTCCCCATTCATTGCAACTCTGAGATTAGCAAAGGAGAGACAGCTCCTCAGCCAGCAGCTAGAACAGCCCATTGTCACCAGCTGATGGAAGTGGAGTGTGCTAAAACCGTTACCATGGATCCAGTACGGATCTCCTGTCGCTGAAGGGCTGATGAGGACTGAAGGACCGGGAAAAAACATTCCAACCCCTGCAGTGCAGGCTCCCTGCTCCCGAGTCCCCGCATGCCAGCTTTAACCCTACCTGCCTGCGGCGTGCCAGCCGCTGCTGCCCGTGAGTGGCAGGGGCACAGCGAGTCACGGCTGGAGGCGCTGGCTCCCTCTAGGCTGCCAAAGCCTTCCACTGCCCGCCTTCAACTCTCCATCCCCTCGCTGGAACTACCCACCAGCCCAGCGGTAACAGCCAGGAAAAAAAAAAAAAATAAAGAATCTGTCTGCATCAACTGCCAATTCCCAACTGCATGCACAGGCTTTGGGAGCAGCTCCCTGAAGAGCCATCCTGACACTGCTCCCAAGCACGGAAGTGAGAAGAAATTCCACGAAGCAGATGCTGCCCATGTACAGTAGTTCTGAGTACATTAGAATGAGATAAATGGGGAAAATATATAAATTAAATAGGTTCTGAAGTAAGCAGTATCAGCCTACTGGAGCTTACCAGCTCCAGAACATTTAAAATGTATATGTCAGTATCACAAATGTATTAATGTCTTCCATTTTATTGGATATAATAAAAATATATAATGCTGATATTTATGCACCATAAATACCACAGTCTTGAAATATAGATTCTTGACTGGAATATGTATTTCCTTTCAAAATTCACTTAATGTCAGGATAACGTCCAACTGCTCTTACATATACTCTTAATGATTTAAAACAGAGAAGTAACAGAAAAGACTTTGTAAGCATATCATCTTCAATGCAAAGGTAAGCCCAAAGTTGTAGTTAATTCACAGCAGAGGAGGATCAGTTCAGGATGAATATTTTTTAGTTTCAGGACCTTTGCTGAAAGAACTCTGTGCTTTTTCTCACAGAAAGGGGTGCTGTGGGAATTTTAACACTGTTTTTGAAGGCAGATACTGTCTGTGAGTTAAAGTAATAGAGAAAACAGCAAACTCTTCATCTGCTAAAGTCTAGAAGGTTTTTAAAGAGGTAGCAAAAACCAACTTAGGTGCCTTTTTATAATGGTACAATCACCCTGTTCTGTACTCTCCAGAGCCTGACAGATGACTTCATCTCTGAGAGATCTTAAGCCTTACTTTCCACCAGAAATTAGCAAAGAAGATATTAAGAGTCATCTTTAACCACCTGCAGTTTAAAAAGAAAGTTGTTCCTCTTACCAACAATAAGAATTGCTTCTCAAACCACAGGCATAAAAGAAAATATCATTTAACTATGCATGCACATAAAAAGATGAAAAAGGACTCAGTGGGGGAACAATGGATGCACAAAGATAAAACTGAATGTGAGACAGAGCAAACCTTCAGGGCTGGTGGGAAACTAGTTTAAAGAGCAAAATGTTTTACACTACAGCTTCCTCTAATGTTTAATAAAATATGAGAACAAAGAAGAGAAATTGTGAATACTAGATTAAAATATAATGAAAAGACCCTTTGCCCTCTATTTTGCATTCACTAAAATAATTGTCCAAAATCTCTGCCACCCTGCAGTATAACTTTGTTACAATATTTGTATCAAGAAATAGTAGCAACTAAAGTGAAAATTTGGAACAGTCATTTGACAAAAACACCTCTAGATGATAAAGTAGTTCTGAACTTGTCAACAGTGGCTGAAAAATGAGAAGCAGAACTTCTGAAGAAGTTTCAGCATGCTGGATAAAAAAAAATCACTTAGGGGTAAGAGGGAATAACTTTAAAAAAAAAAAGGCACTAGATCTACTCTGTCTGATGTTGCTAATTATTTGGTAGCTTCTCTCTAGATTTTTGTTCCTCAGACTAAGGAGTCCTTTATCTGATGTCCAAAATATCCACAGAATAAACAGAGTAGTCTTGTAAAACCAATCTAAAACAGACAAGCACTTTTGTTGTCAAATGTGGGTCACACGATGGCATAATCTCTAGTTAAGTTATTATTTCTTGCATAAAATCAGAAAGCTGTCACACAACTATAGCATTTTCAGAACAAGATGAAGACTGGTGAATGCAAATACATTGATGTGCTTATCAATTGCTTCTTTAAAGGGAAGGATCCTTCAGCAGAGGTCCAGATAAGCCTCTGAGAAATAAATGTGAGCATCATGCCATCACATCTGACAAGGTGAAAAATTTGCACTTTTCTCAGGCTCACCCAAAAGGGAGGCAAAGGTATTACTCAAAAAGACAGTAAACCCAGTGCTTCTACTCACACGAAGTGGTTGGGTACAAAGAGCTTCTCTTGTCTCCAACACGTTACAATGAACGTACATGTTCTGTTTACCATTTAAAGTATCTTGTGGAGAACTGCTTGTTTTAAAAAAGCCAATTCCTTGCCTAGATACATCCCCACTTGTGGAAGGATGTAACCCTCTTCCATCTGTTCCAAAGAATGACTTTCAGAGGAAAAGGGGGTGTTGTAGGTTGCTAAGTTTAAGGGGAAAAAAAAAAAAAAAATGAAAAAGAAAAAGGAAAAATCCAAAATAATAAGCTTTATTCCAGTACTTTAATCAACTTATCATTAAGATTAGATAAAGTGTCTCTCATGGAAACAAAAGCCTTCTTTTTTTTTTAAACTCTTCCCTCAGTGTGTGTATTTATGACTGGTACAAAGAACATTGCCATAACCAGGTCTTTCCATTCTTTCAAAATATTTTCATGCAAATTCAGAAAAGAGAGACTGCATTTCCCCTGGGACAGGGAAAGACTCAACTGAAATAGAAAACTTTAAGGCAATACAGAATGTTTCTTAAGGATAAAAATGTGACTCTTCTTGATCTACAAGGTGATCTATAAATTCTTTCTGAGGAAAAGCATCCACATAGCCTTTTTAAATAGGTTAGGCATTCCTCTTCCTCAGGCTCCAACAGACCTATTTGAGAAAGTGTTATGAAAGAAAAATAGACAATCCCACTGATGAAATTAAAGGAAATTTTCACTAAGACCACTCATAAAAAAGGCATTGTGCTAGTTCCAACCTATCTATACAATATTATCTTAACACCTTTACTGTTTTGTCAGGACAATGATCCAACACATACATTTCTATTAATAAAAGTGATTTCCAACCTGTAATTGAAGTGATCTCCACTTCAAGAAACAAGTCAACACATTTTTCTGAAGACAAGAATTTAAATGAAACACCACAATGTGTAACTGTTAACATCCTGAATGACAATGTGGTGTTCATAAGGATAAGTGTCTTGGACTTACGAATAATGAGATTTGGGTCCTACCTGTTTAATAGCAGAAAACAGATTAAAAATCAGTCTTTAATGTTTTCTCACGTTCTTCTGTTTGCACAAGACATTAACTCCTGTCTTTCCATATATGTATAGTTTCCATGTGCAAGTCCAAATATGCCATTCCATTTTCAAGACCTCTTGGACTGTAGTTACAAAGCAATTCTTAAGATGAAAGGTTTTTCATGATGTACACATATTGCTCAGGTAAGAATTAAAGTGTTCTGACCATCTCCCAGCTAGACTTCAGCAAGTAGATTTTTGATTCCAAATTTAAAAGCTGATGCAGTTTAAGGATGTCAAATAACAAAAGACAACCAACAAAACCCCCAAATTACACAGAATATAGCCTTGTTGCTGATAACTCAAGTATGTAATTCCCCATTCTCTACCTCTGATTTTAGATTCTTTTTAGGTACTCAAATGATTCAGTTATCAACTTTCCCATGAAATACCTGATCATTTAGCAGAAACACAGATAAAAAATATGTTTATTTCAGGTAAATAAATTGCAAAATATTCTGAAAAATTCTTCAATAAATGAACACAAACTTTTGAAAGTTTTGCTTCATTTTATTTTTGGGGAGGAAGTGTGGTGGTATCTGTTTCAGGGTGGGTTTTTTTTTTAATAAGCTTTAGAAGTCATTAAATAGCCGAAAACCAACAGAGAGCAGAATCTATAAGGGTGTTTCAGTACAATACTCCAATGAAGGGGAAAAATCACCTGTTGAGACAAATTCAGATAAACCTGACCTTAGGTTTAATGGTTTGATTCTGTTTTTGTAACTTAAGAGCTGCTTATACAGACACACATTACTTTGACCCAGGGGAAGTTGGGAGCTTTTTTTAGAGGCAATGATCTTTTGGAAAGGGGTTTACTAAAAAGTCAAGTGTTTCATGGGTTACCATAACAACAAAATGTAAAACTGAAAAGCCCCGTAATGACACATTCTTAACCAAAATCGGTGCATAAAGAATGGCTATCCTGGAGCTCTCAGCATGATAATTAAATACCTGCCAGGCAAAGGTACCAGTTTTTTTCCCTACCTTGCTCAGACTGAAATAGAAATTACATCACTGCCCTTAGAGACTATAGGAAACTCTGACTATACTGACACAGAGTTTGTTTAACAGTTGTGGAATCAGAGAGTCATTTTAGTTGGCAAAGGCTTTAGGATCACCCAGTCCCAACACTCCATAACCTTAAAGTCTCTGACCAGATTAACTTGGGGGAGTGAGATTCTTTAATGTAAATCTAAATCCTATGACCTCTTCCATCACCCATCTTCTCAAGCTGCCATTGCTCCAGATAGACACCACTATCAGCAGAGGTCAAGATTACAAAGAAACGTTTAGCTTTTAGATAGCCCAGGTCAAACTTGACCCAGGTTTTGACCAGAATGACAGCAACAGTGCTCAGAAAAACCAGCACAGGGAGAACCACTATAGAGAGCAAAGCAATAGGTGATACATTGGATCTGCTGCTTAAAGCACAGAGACTGCTGTGTTTTGTGCTAGTTACAGCAGGGCTTTATCAAGTATGAGGAATAACAACAAAGTGAGGGGTCAAAACTGCATGAATCCTCACAGTAGGTAGGTGTGGATATTACAGAGAACGATGCAATCTGCTGGCCAGCTGCAGACAGAAACAGGATTTTTAAAATCCCAAATGATTATTCCAACATTATAACCACACTGGGGCTGCCTACTGGCTTGTCCATCACCTCTGTCACACGAATTGGCAAAATGCTCCATTAACTCATGCAGCTGTGTGAATACTAGACAGGCAATTGCCAAGGAGACACCAGAACATATGCTCAGATGTCATTCTTCTTTCTATATCTGAGATAATATGACAAATGCAACACAAAATTCAGGACCAGAAACTGGTGGCTTAGTCAGGGCTCTGGGGAGAGAAGGCAGAGAGCACTGGGAAATGTATGCTAAAGTGATGAAAAGGGCTTGAGGCTCAATGGCTCTCAAAGGGCAGAAACAATGGAATTTAACAGAACAGCAGCTCCACAAGTTCAAAATTAATGAATCAACAGAAAAGTGAGCAAACAGTCTGTGGAGCTGACAGCTGAAGTGCTGAGATAGTCATCAAAAGTAGAATCACTGGCTTAGCAATTTATCATGGAAAATGGAGCACAATCATTCCCTTACAGCATAATTGATAAAAAACATAAGGCAGACATGTTGCTCACCCAGATAATCTTACAGTCCAAATAATTTAAAATACTTTCCAACACAATCAAATCCCCATACAGAGATCACTGATGAACTGTGAAATATTTGCTTTGGCCACGGAGCTGGTGCCTCAGTACTTCCAAATACCAAATTCCATTGCTTACATAATATTATAAACAGTTTTCTGCATAGAGAATTATCTGGTTCACTGGTTTTATTCTATTCCTGGTTGAATGAACAGATTTTTGACCAAAATAAAAGTAGTAGTACATTATCCCCATTGACTTTGACAAAAAGCTCCAATGGCCCTATGGCCACAGGCATTTAATCACCTAATGGAACTACAAAAAATAAACCAACCTTAAATTACAAGTTCACAAGTTTTGTTCACAAGTAACAAAAGATTAATCTGAAGATACAACAACAAGAAAAGACGAAGCCAAAGTTAAGCAAACTGAGGTGGGAAAGGCCTGAAAAAAACATACTGATGCCTTTTAATCTGAGGAAGGACATGGAAAGGACCATTTTGATTTTCTAGTCTAGTTCCTGCAGTAATATGGCAATTGCATCAGAAATTCATATGGAGTTCAATAAAACTTCCTCTTACCTTACAGTTTTCACCTGAGATGTTAACATAGCCTTTGCAAAAACAAAAATGAGCTGTTTCATTAAAAATACCTGCTCCAGGAATCAGTCCTGTTTTATTACAAATAATTCAGATCAAACACACTTAAATACTCTTTGTACAGATTTTCCCATTACCAAAAAAAAAACCCAGAAATTGTTTATAAATACGTCTTTATTCTACTTACAATTACGGATATTGTTCCAGTCAATTTTAGAAAAAAATGGATGGCAGCAGAGATCTTCATAACCCAGCCTTTCCTTCTGCCCACAGAGCAGGCTCTGGATCAGGTCAAGAAAGTCACTGCTAACTTTCACATCCTCTGGGAACTTCAGAAATCTCTGCATTAGAAAGAAATGGATTTCTGCTCAGTAGGAAAACAGGCTCAGAACAGGAAGATTAAGTTTCATTATTCTGAGATATGTCAGGTACAAAGGATGAATATTTATAGCACACAAATAAAAGCATGGTGCATTTTATCCAAGTAGGCTTTTATATGCATTTACTGCAGCAAAGATAAGAACACAGGAACAACCATTCCCACCCAGGCAAATGGTATCCCAGGTCACCATCTTCTGCTGAACAATGGCACACATAAATGGAAGAGTAAAACGATACGCTTCCCCAGAAAATTCTCACAAACTTCCAAAGGTTTGTGGCTTAGGATTTTTTGCATCAGGGATGATGACACCTGCCATAAAAATAACTTGATACCTATAATACAGAGACATATAAATACAACACAGTGCATATATTCCAAACATGTTATGAACACGACAAAGTAAGAGACATCCATAAGCTTTTATGTAAAGCTGAGAAAAACAGCCTTTAGTTACAGCCTTTTTACTTGAGAACAGGAAAGCTCTACCTGGAAGTTCATGATGTTATTGAAAGTTTTTGCTGAAGTGCCTTCAGTGAAGGGAGTCCTTCCATAAATCATTTCATAGGCGATGACTCCGAGGGACCACCAGTCACACTCGGGGCCGTAGGAGGCTTTGCCATCCCCACCCAACCCTGTCAGCATCTCTGGTGCCATGTAGTCAGGAGTGCCCACAGGGAGCCTGGCATTGACCTAGGAGCAAAGATAAACCAAGTGAAATTACAGCACTTCCTGTTCAATGGATCTTCATAATAAAACAAAGGTTTTATTCCCCCACCTCCCCCCCTTTTTTTTTTTTAAATGGGACATAATTTTCAGCCCTCTAATTGAATTTTAAGAAAGTAATTTTAAGCAAAGCTGTTTAGCAAATAAGCGCCAGGTTAAGGAAACTGCTGATAAAACAAACAAAGCGAGCTATTTGGTATAAAGAGTCAAATTATCAGAGCTAATTGTTACTGTAAAGTACAAACTGCTAAAGTAGAAAAGCAGCATCCCAAAAAGCACAGAAATACTAAACTGATGTTTAAAACAGCAAACATACTCTGCTTTAACTAGTGTTAACAGTATAAGCATCATAGCTGAAATTTCAAAAATGGTCAAGTTCAGACATAAATATTTCCTGCCTCATTACATTCTCTGTCACCCTTACCTTTTTGTCTAGTGTTCATGATCAGCAAAGCACTAACATTTGAATTTCTGGACCACTTAGAAAAGGTAATTCTAGGAGCCAATGCTGCAATCATTTTTGTACTGAGTGGCATAAAGAATTAAACAAAACAGCAGGCAGGCTAACACAAAAACCTGTGAGTGACTGAAGAGATAATGTGAAGAAGAAAATTAAAAGGAAAATACAATGCAGAGAAGCACTGAAAATGTAAGAGCAGGGAAAACAGGATATTAAGAATCACATTACAAAGAAAATGTTATGGAAAAATAAAAATTGTAAAACAAGACAGAAATATGGTACAGAACTTCATGTTCTCACTTAGATACATTTAAATTTTAAAATTTTTCACTGGAAGTTGTCTGCAGTTAACAAAACTTACAAGCAACTTATATAAAACTCCACTGATTTAGACTTGATGCAGTACCTTCTGGTGAGTGAAGCCCAGAATATTTAAATGTGACTCATTTTGATCAAGAGCTCCCCAATATTCAAATTTATGTCACCTTATTTACAACAGGCACAATTTTCATTCCAACTATAAATCCACATCCTCTTTGAACACAGCATTGAGCAGCTGTAAGAACCTGTAGAAATATGATTTTGTATCACAGTGCAACACCATGAGAAAGCAGACTTACCTTTACCTTTCTTGTGTGCTAATATTTTAATAAGCAAATATGTATCTGCTGAGGGCTGCAAAAGATTCTTGAGCTCATGCTTGAAAAGCCATTCACAAATGGAAAAATACAATTGTGAATAGATTCCATAGTGAACAAGAACAGCAGAAGAAAGAGCAAGGTGTAATCAAAGAACAGATATCAAGTTAGTTCTCCCTTTTCAACTGGACTATCCAAACAAGCCACAGACAAAGTTTAAATCTACATTATTACCGTTTTGTTTACTGTCATTTTGGCAGCTGACCCAAAATCCACCAGTTTAACGTGTCCTGTTCGGTCAATAAGAACATTCTCTGGTTTGATATCCCTGTAAACCAGAAGAAAGCAATCAGAACCTTTCCAGACCATTTTCTACTGTCACATCCAGGTAACAGGACATCTCTATTCAGCTATACTCAACCTCATACATTAAGTCTTTCAAGTGGGAGTCTTTTCCCAACAGTTGCACTTTTTCCAAGCAAATATGGAAGTATTACAGTTCCCCTTATTTCATAGAAGGTTAATAATTGTTGACAGCAGATAAAAAGGGAAGATGATTTTGCACCTCGACCACATTGTAACTGAGTTCAGTAAAGTATTTTGTAGTTTTCTTCCTAAACTCTCTCACAACTTGCTCTGCACATCTTCCAAATTCAGCCAAGTGACCTTGCACTAAGAAAGCCACAGCCCATGCTCTGAGTGCAGTCACTACAAACTCTTGGAACATAAAATACTTCCTAACATTTCCACACCCTCAGAATGGAATCATTTTTTTAAATATCAATATGATTTGAAAATGCACACAGTAACAGTCTCCAAGCCTTGAGAGAAAACTGTGATATTTAACTACTCCAACATCCTATACTGCACTGTTCACCAATCAGCACACAACATTTTTAACAATTACATTAATTTCCCATAGTATTTGGTGCCAAAAGCAGCAATCCATGGAAAAAATTTAAATTTTTTATAGCGCAACATTAAGGCTTCTTTTTACTAAGCCTCCAGAAAAATATATGTAACAATCCTTTCTTGATATTGGTCTGAACTTTACATCAAAGTTAATGCCTTGAGCTACAATTATAGTTGGGAGTCTGATTAATTTTCTAATTTTGTCTTCTGGCACAGCATGTGAAATACTGAAAGAGGACAGAATATGGAAGTACCAAAGCAACCTTTACGTACCGGTGGACATAACCCATCTGATGGACACTGTGAATGGCCAAAACCAACTCTGCAAGGTAAAACTGCACCATATTCTCGTCCAGTTGGTCCTCATATCTGTTTAAGAGTGACAGCAAATCCCCTCCAGGCTGGTATTCCATCACCTACATACCATTTTAAAGGAATAGATATACAAGATAGTTCATTCAACTCCCCAGTAAGACACTGGGCATATATCAAACAGTGCTATGCAACAGAGGAAAATTTACAGAAAACAAGCACATTTCAACTATCACATTGTTCTTTAGTAAACCAACAAAAATGGTGTTCAATAGAGGAGAAAATCGGAAACTAGGCATTACCAAGTAGAGATTTTTCTTGTCTTGAAATGCATATTGTAATTGTGGAATCCATGGACTGGTGCTCTGAGCTAATATGCTGCGTTCTTCCTCAAAAAATGACACCTACCAAAAAAGTGTTCAGTTACATCATGATGAGAGGAAGTGAGAATACATTAGAATTCCCTAGATTTAGAAAAACTTGGCACACATCACCAAAAAATTACACAGATATTATTAAGTACTGTTTCCTGAGCAAGTGCCATGTGAGGGTAGAACCATACTTTGCTTTCTTGACAATCTGTGCCCCAGAAAGGGTAATTTTAGTTGAGCTCCATTTCTGCTAGCCACAGACAGTGCTGAGGGAGATCAGAAGCAACCTTACTGCACCATGCATTGGAAACAACTGATGCAGATATTGTATAAATTCAAGAGGTTTCTCATGGAGTATCTCTGTCCTACTTGTCATCTCATGTCAGCAAAGATTAACTTCTGTTTCTCACCAAACTATGAGAACAACCTCCATTATCCCTTTTTTAAGTTTCCAAGTAACACATTTCTCAAGCAAGCGAGAGGCTCTCCATAAAAATCCAGTCACCACAGTTTGCCTTCCCACCCACTCTTGACATTCTACTTCGCTCTTTAAAATTAAAAAAAAAAAAACCTTAATGAATAGATTGTCTGAAAATTCAAACCATCATCAACAAGATCAATACTGATTCAATGTTTCCGTCATCTGTTTTTCTTTTCTTATAATTAGATGGGAAGCTCTTCACAACAAGGGCCATGTTTTAGTACCTGAGGATGGCACCTCACCCAACAGACCTATAGACTGTGACAACAGCTTTTAAACACAGCAAAACTACACACAAATTTATTGCTTCACTGAAATGTAGGATGAACTTTCTCAAGATATATTTTTAACTCAGTTCTAATAATAGTGACAGAAAGGAAGTGTTCAACAAATTGCAATTTATCCTCCTACTCCCAGAACAGAAAAATATACATACGTGCTCCTGCGCCAGCAAGGACTCCTTGCTCATCACCTTCATAGCATAGACATCACCAGTGACTTTCTCTCTCACTACTTTGACATCTGCAAAGTGACCACAGCCAACCACACTCTTTACTTCAAAGTCCTTCACACTGGGTTGCAGTTCCTTTAGTTCAGCGATAGCCTCTGCATCTATAAAAATAAAATACTTATTTTTACATTTGGCAACTGGCATTTTATAAAAAAGAGACAACATCGAAACTAGGGAATAAAATTTTAAAAAGCCCCAGCAAACCAAAACCAAAAAAATCCCAACATTTAGTTCCAGATTCTCAAGGAATGTTAAATCTTTCCAGAATATGCTTCTTAAAAATAACAGCATGCATCAGAACTAGAAAAAGACTGTATCAATGCAGAGTTAAGTCTGAAATATGGTACATACAAAAGGATCAGGAAATGCTAAGACAGTTCCCATAGCAACCAAAATTCTGTCCCATTCATAACATCAGAGGATGAGAACCTCTTTGGTTTCTAATTTCTTTCCAGCCATCCTTTATCAATACAAAGTATATTCTCTAAACCTGAGGTCTTTACCCAGCGAATTCTAGTCCAGGGGCAGGGTTTGCTCCTCTGCCTGAGGGAGGCACCAGTCTATTGTCTAACAACCAACCACAGGCATTTATTGCAGATATTCAGCTCAAGTTTTCCACTGACTAGTTCCAGCCAGCATGCACTATGATAATCAGTCACTCACAGCAGATTGCTCTAAAAATTTTTCAAACTAGCAGAAAATTACTGTCTGCTAATAATACCGACAAACCACTGAGTGGAACTATAACAGGGGGCACAACGTTACTTGAAATCAAATGTCTTTCTGCCATACCTTAATGGAAAAATTGACAGAAATTTTCTTTGCTCTTCCCCATAAGGAATCTGAGCACATTATCAATAAAATATTTACTTTACATTATCAATAAAATATTTACTCCTTTAAGATCCGTATTTCTGAAGCACAGAAATACTCTTTAGAAGTTACACATGCAAAACTCGGGTAACACATGGAATCCAAAAGGTGAAAGAGACAGGGATTACCAAGTTTCTCTCTCAAATCCTTTTTTCTCATAGTCCCTATCCTGCTCTCAACTCCTGACATCCTTCTGTGGTGCACACTCAGAGCTTTGCTGGAGCCAGTACTCACTGTCCAAGAAAGTACCTCCTCAAATATAAATACAGTACAAACTAAGAAGGAGGCACATTTCAGTCACAGCACTTCAAAAGCCACTTGCATTTGATCTTCTTGGACCTGAACAAATCCTTACTGAGACTGCCAAGCTCCCCTTTGCAGAGTTGAGTCTGCCAACAAAAAATCAGAAGCTCAAAGTCCTGGGTTACAATCAAAGCAACTAAAGCATTACTCTAACATCCAGATTCTTAAGAACTGTTTTATAAAGTGACACCTGAATATTAGTCTAAACAAACTTACACTTCTTGACAAAGTTGCCAACATGTTTAATTTTCATTAAAGCAGGGTTTTTGCATTCTTCAAAAAGAACAAATAATGAATCAAGGATGCCTTCCCGGGAGAGAGTAGACATCTGCTGTTGAGTCACAAAGAGTGGCTTCCCCTGGAAAAAAAAAGCAGCAACAGCAGATGGAGTCTCAGACAACAATGAAAAGCCTCAAATCAATAACAGATGTATAGAGCAGATTATATATTATCCATTTTAAAATCACTGCTTCAGAAATTAGGCAAATGATACAGAAGTGTGAGGTAAATATATCAACTCACTATCTGAAATAGCTGTTACAGGTATTTTTCTTTCAGAGAAAGCAATCCTTTAAAGTTTCAAGCAACTAAACTAACAGTTTCAAGAAAGCAGTGATTCAGATTTTAACAATCTATATTCTCCTGATGACTCTGAGCTGACTGGCCTTTTCTTTGACATTGCATCATGCAGGTTTCTTCATGGTATGAACAATTTAAGAAATCAACATCAACACTAACTCTAGAAGGAAAAGCTGTTGGACCTCAGATGATGAAAAAGCAGCCCCTTAGGTAAATGCATCTTGGGACAAACCCACAGCTCCTTCACTCATGAAAAAACTGAAGATTACAGGGGACAGAAAGCAATATTCCATCTTTATGTGGAAAAATCCATCAGGCTAAAACACACAGATGCACAAAATGTAAGACCAGTTACTATCCACTGAATTTGGTGCAAACCAAATACACTTTGAACTTCACCTAGTCATCCCTTTCTTTTACCCCAAAGAATGACACAGGCATGGTTTCAGCATCCAAACAAGCAAAGGTGTATTTTGAGATATTGGGAATGGACAAGGACAATCAGCTGCTCCCAGGCCAGATGTTCTTTACCTGAAAGAGCAGATTTAGCCGAGAGGCTCGGCTGGTGATGGGCTCCATTGGTCCTGCCTCAACCGGATTTCGGGCTCCACATTTAAACTTCAACATCTTTACAGCTTATCTCATATAAACGATCACCTGAAAAAGGGAACAGGGACATTCAGGAAGCACTTGACTGGCTGACTCTAAGTAAAAAAAATATGGATGAGGGGGGATGTAATGTAAGCAACATTTACGTTTCTTCGGGGGCAAAACTTATAAGTTTAAACGCCCCTGGAGCGCCCCAGCAATTAAAGTGGGGAGAAGCAATTACGTTGAAGACCTCCGAGACCATTGAGTGAGACCTGTGAGCGAACCCCACCGTGACAATGTCCCCGCGGCACTCAGCGCCTCGGCCAGTCTATCCTTAAACACCTCCAGGGACGGTGACCCCACCAGCTCGCTGGAGGGCGCGGAACCCCCCGAACTCCGCAGTTTGCAGCGGGCGGACCCGAGTCTCCCTCAGAGCCGCCCCATGCCAAGCCCCGTTCCCGAGGTCCCGAGTCTGCCTCAGCCCCCCGCGGGTCCCTCAGAGCCGCCTCGTTTCCAAGCCCCGTTCCCGGGTCCCTCACAGCCGCCTCGTCCCAAGCCCCGTTCCCGGGTCCCTCACAGACGCCTCGTTTCCAAGCCCCGTTTCCAAGCCCCGTTCCCGAGTCCCTCACAGCCGCCTCGTCCCAAGCCCCGTTCCCCAGGGCCCCCCAAGTCCCCGCGCGCGCCCCGCTTTTACCGCCGCTAGCGTTTGAACGGCGCGGTGGGCGTGCGGCTCCTGACGTCACTTCCTGTTACCGAGGCGCGGGCCAATCGCGGGCCGGCAGGGCCGGAAGCCCTGTTCGGGTGTGGCGGCGGCCCCGTGAGGGCGGGAGCGGCCGCGGGTGCTGAGGGGCTGCTGAGGGAACCGCGGTGCCGCGGGGCTTCCCCAGCTCCGGAGGGAGCACAGAAAGGCCTTCGGACACTGCTGGTGCTGCTCTGCCCTCACGGGTTTGGTCGCGCTTGTCGTGTACTTCACGTATTTTTGTTTTGTTTGTTTGTTTTCCTTTGCCAAATCTTAAAAGGGAAAAATGACTCATTCCCAGTAGTTCTGAGTGGAGCTGGCTCAACCCTACCCTGAACGTCAGAGTTGGCAGCAGCTGCTGCCAGGTAGGGCAGCCAGAGGGGAAATGGAAAGGTTTTCAGAAGCTTTAAATTTCCATCTGTAAAATGCTCGCCTGACCTTTATGACCTTTTTTGTATGGCCGTTTTATTCAGATATAGGGTGATTAACTTTCAAGTGAAGCACTGGTGAAAGGCTTCTAGCTCAGCACCCTCTCTGTCAGTGACGCATCCATCAGAACATTCAGTGGGATGCAGGGTGACCTTGTGTGAGGATGGATCCGATGGATCCTTGCTGAGATGTCCATGGAGGACATGGGCAGGGAGCGCTGATGTGACCTGCAGGCATCACAGGGGTGCAAAACACAGCCCCTTGTTACAGTGTCTGGGCAAGATTTAATCTGGTGATAGAAACCTCGGTGGCGTGGTCCTTAAAAATAATCATGTGGCTGTGAGTGACGTCAGATAGTTTGCTCTCTAACATTCATTTTAATGATGCTAATACTGCTTTGGCATCTAGGTGATCAAGTAAGGTACTGATGGATTTATTACATTTGACTTTATACAAATCATTTTACAGATCTGTGCTTCCTTTCACCTCCCCCAGTCTACCCCTGGAACACTGACATATTTGTGGTGTATTTCTTGTCTCAAACTTACATATCTGGGTTCATTCCAAGTTACAAAGCCTGAAAGAGTTTTTAAAATCTAATTTATTGTCCACTACCTGCACCACCAATTTGGTTTTGGACTCCACTCAGGACACTGTCATTGGCTGTGTCTCATCCACATCCGCATTGCCCAGGAGAGATCAGCTTTTAAACAGAAATGCAGTAAAGAGCTTCCTGTGCATGAACTGGGTAATTGCCATGGTGTAGTGCATTTTAGTAAAATATCACATCCTGCCCTGATACTGGAACCCTACCATGTCTAAAGGTGCTCTACCCTACATTTTGAATAAGTCTCACTGTCTGCCATCCAAATTATGAGAACTTCAGGCTCCTGTGTCTTTCCCTTTCTCCAGTCTGTCTCCTCAGCAAATATCATTAACCCCCTCTGTTTTAACTACCAGAATTACTGTTAAATATCCACACTGTTCCTAATTCCACTGGGGATATCACCATATCTGCACATCAGTTTGGATTTAGAAAATGGGGGAAGCTGAAGACCTGGGTTCTCCTTCTGAACAGCTCACTTCTGTATTGTGTTCAAATCACAAGGTGTGGCTGATTCTCCTTCCCTCTTCTCTGCAGGGTGGTGTGGAACAGCTGATCCACAGACTGGGAGAGGAGATGGGTCATTAAGGGTCTCACCTCATGCACATTAATGCTCCCCTTTCCCTTCAGAACATGAACACTGGCTCTGGGTGTTTAAAACAGAAATTTAACCAGCCAGGTGAGCTGCTTGGCTGGGCCTCTCTCAGCTGCCCAACAGGTTCAGCAATAGCATCAGTTTACTGATTTACAGGTTTATAATTTAATTTTTCAAAATAAAGATGTTTTTTTGAGTGTTTGCAAGCAAAGAAGCTGGCTCTTAAAAGCCTTTGGTACAGATCCAGTTTTCCTCATAATTTAGGTGAAGACTAGTCACCTAATCTAATCAAGTTAGATTAGTTCCCTTTAAGAAAGCCTTTAAATACATATTTTGCTAGAAGCAGCCATGTGATACAAGATCACGTACTGGTTTTTTTTCTTCTTTGTTGCTCTGTAACAGACTTATGTAAACAGGAATGTCTAGCAGCAAAATGAAATAGTAGCATAAAAATGCAGTTGCACCAGAACTGTTATCAAATGGTAAGAAAACAACCAAAGTGGCAGATGAGGGGAGAAGAGAGGAGAGGGAGAAAAACGGTGCAGTTTATACCTCAGTACATATTTCTGATGGCTCAGGTGAAAAAAGAAATACATACCTGTTCAGAAGAACACATATTTTCATTTTCTTTAAATTGATGATCTGAAGTCTTCAGAGTGAAATTGATGATTCCTTCTCACCTTTGATATTTTTATCAAGAGAAATCATAGTGCACCAGTCCTTTGTAACAGCCAAATTATGTATCACTCCTTGAATTTGACAGCTGCTCCTGGGTGCAACCTCACTTAACTGGAAGGAGCAGCAGCAGACCTGAAACCATACAAAGCAAGGGCTTATTCCTACTATTTAAATAATAGGTTGTTCAAAAGTGTAACAGAATAAATAGCTCTGTGATTTTCCCTAAGCAGGTCCCAATATGGTGCTCAACATGTTTTGACATCTCACCATGCATGGAATTGGTTACCATCTGTTTGACATTATTTTATTATAAGAGGAGGGGTTTCCCTTTATTTCCTTGGCCCAAATTCTCCTCCGTCATGCTGTTGTGCTCCAAGGTGACAGTGTTCCCAGGATTGCTTGTCCCAGTAACACCCTTCAGGCTTGCCTGAGGTCTAAGATGCTACGTAAATGTAGAAGTAAACAACCAGGCAGGCAGGTACACCAGCTTTTTGCCAAGAGCCTGGTGCTCAGATCCTCATCCTAACTAACCTCACCATATTTTAACGGGCAGAGAGCTGCCAAGTCCCCCCCCCACCAACACCATCTGGCTGTGAACTTCTGTATTTACAGCAGCATTACTCAGAAATTTCTTCATCTGTGGAGCACTGAGACACTCATGGCAGTGCACAAGGAGTTAATGAATTTATATATGCTTAGAAAGCAATAAACAGGGCATGTGCTATCACAAGGCTACGAGCTACGAGCTAAGTATGACCAAAAACATAGTTTTTTACAAGGTAGATTTTGTCCTACCTACCAAATCTTTCCAGCTCTGTTCTTTCCAAATTTTAATGCTACTCATGCAGATGGGTCTGCAGCCAAGGCTTCCAGGGGATGTGGGCCCTAGAAATAAATCATGCTCTTCAGCAAGGCCTTTACCATAGCTAATCTATATGTCTATCTATAATCTATAATTCTGCTTGAAAACAAAAAATGAATTCTCCTTTAGCAGTTCTATCCCTTCCTCTAACTCACCAATATTTAAAAGAGCTTGTAATAAATCAAGCTCTTTCTTCAGCCCTAACCCTGATCACACCTGGGTTACCATTTCCTGTTTCAAAATAAAGGGTCTGACTTGGCTGACTCCAATACTGTCATAAACCCTTGCTAAGTGGAGCATTAAGCACCACTGCTTAATGGGACCTAAATTATCCTTAGATTCCTGACACATTTTGTTCCACTTTCTTTTCCCAAACTATCACAAAATATCCAACCTGACATAATAGTCATGCACACTACAGGGGTAGGGATATTTGCATAATACACATTTGGGAAGAAGAGTTATGGAAGAGGGAAGTAAATTCCTTATCAAAGCTATGAAGGCAAAGAGAAATAATAACCAGGAAAACAATTACATTGTCTTTCCTTCTGCAGTATTTTTAATTTCCTCCTGAGAATTTTTGGAAAAAGACCACTCTGCTGTCATCATCCTGGGATAAGCAAAAAGGAAATGAAACTTTAAAAGACCTGAAAGGCTGTTTGGTTTTTCTTCCATAGACTCTCACTAGAAGGTAGGCACAGAGATAATATTCTTCAAGGTTATTTTGACTAAAATATTAAAGACCTTTTTTTGATTATGCATTCACTTCATACATTCACAAACATTATGAGTATTAGCAATATGCTAATAATTGTATTATACAAGTGCTAATGTTCTGGGGTTTTTTATATATTGCTTCTATATTTCTTTATATTTACAGAAGTAAAATCCATTACAACAGTTTTTAAAACACAGGGCTTTCCTATTAGATACATAGTTGTCATCTATCTTTTGATTTATTCATAAAAATGCAAACAGACATATGTGATGATGCTCTTCAGACCAAATCCCAGTTCTGAGGGTTTCTCATTCCAGCACACACTGCTCAGTTCTGACCACACTCTCCTAACACACAGCCATATGTTGAATCTCCCTGTAAGCCAAAACATAATCATGATAAATTTCTGGT